AAACTTGGGGTTGTGAACTTGGTGCACCTCCAAGCAAGAGCTTATGTATATGGCTACTCCGCCCTCAATTCCTGTTTTTCTGTCGTTGCGGAACAAAGTCATCCCAGGTAATGCTAACTCTTGATCTGAGAACTGAGAAGATATCCAGGTTTCAGATATCCGATCACATGGGCCTTATTAGCATTGCTAAGTTCACGTAATTCATCCAGTTTCTTTGGTAGACTCGCGGCGTTCATATATAAGCAGTTTATGTCTTCTATTTGGAACGTGTGAGCTTCGTCCTGTTTTTCTGTATGAGCCTTATGTGAATGGACAGGTAGCCCACCTATATGAGGTTTGCCAAGGTGGTAGGCCCTGTCCTTTACACGTTTTTTTATCATTTAGACAGTCCACAAGTGGAATGATCAGCTCCAACTTGCCTTTGTACTTGGTCCTAGCTTCATATGGCCTATCCGGGTGCATGTGGATTCCAGGTGGCAGTCGACGTCTGTTGGCACGAAATGCTTCCAGAGTTGCAGCCGCCATATTGGAAGATGGGAAGGTTATCTTCATTAGACGGGGTCTGAGATCACCGTCCTTCTTGGCTAGTCTCGTCACATGCTGAGTCAGTATGTGTTTGAGCCTCAAGGACGGTTTGATGAATTTCCATTCCCTGATGTCAGAATTTGATTGAGTAATGTCTGCATTTTCCAGTATACCTTGCACAATTATGTTTCTTCCGCGGAAAAACTTCTCGCGAGATTCTTTAGGGATGTTCCGTATGATATTGCGCTCAGAGTACGGTATGTCGGGCAATATTCTTACGTTACCATCGGATTTCAGCAAGTGACTTGCTAGGAAGACGTCCTTTACGTCGGTATCATTCTTAAGTGTTACTTGGAGAAGCCTCGGATGATTTAAATGCTTAGAATTTTTTCCTCCAGTGAGCCGGGTGACCGTCAAAGGCTCTATTCTAGGAAGTTCGAGCGACTTGTTCAATTCACCCCAGAGCATCCTGTCATTTTTGTCCTGTAGACTGAGAGGAAGGTCAGGATTGTCAACGAGGTTCATGATAATGAGAGAATCGTCACGAACTGTTGTTAATTTACAAGGTTTCAGGATGGGTTCAGGTTTAATAACTTGTTGTTTGGAGGTCAGTGCGCGTTTTTGAGTCTTGGGCTCTTTATTGACCGGACGAACAGTCTTGGGGGTAGACTGTGCGACTAAATCACCAGTTATTTTCCGTACAGCAACACTTGGGTTGCTCGGCTTAGGCGGTGATGCCCGGTTCTTTTGGGCTCTCTTAACGTGGGTCGAATCACCTACAGGGTTTTTGGGAACCACTGTTTTGTTCAAGGACCCTGAGCTGGGAGACCCGAGTTTGCTTAGGGAGTCTAATACCGTCGACGTAATGATGGTGCTGAGCCTCGACACGTCATCATTAGTGTTGATGGATGCTCCATCGATGGTATACCTGTCGACATCCCTATTTTTGTATCCGTCACACGCTCTTATTGTTTACCGGTTTTTTTACTATCGTTATCCAAGTTGACTGAGAACTTGTTCCGAAGACCTGTCAGTAGGACAGTGATGTTACTCAGCAAGACTACAGCGTCCGTGCTGCACGTGACACATACCCACTTTTGGTCTAACTTGCTGAGTCTGTTGCAAGCAGTTGCTGTCAGATCTGTGCATGCTTCGTGGAACCAACCTTTGCAGTTGTCGCACTGCATGCCAGTTGTAACAGCAAAACGGCATCCCGGACGTTTGCATGAGTTTTTCATGACTATGTTGAAGCGAACTATGTTATGGATGCTTGAGAAAGCCTAAGAACTTTAAAAAACACTGAAAACGTACAAAAATGGATAAAACGAGTGATATAAACTGAAACTAGTCTGTACGTGAAAAACAAAAACAAACCGAATAGTAAGCTGAGGCAAAACCACAGGTAACTATTAAATATGGTGAAACTAGAAAAAAGTAATCTACCGAACGTATAGCTCAGGATAGATTCTTTAGAACTGAAATGGTACTTTTGTTGCGTAAGAACACAGCAAAAGTTTGATAAATGCAATTCAAACCTTGGTTTGGATCCAACAAATAAATCAGCTTTTACTCAACCTTTCTACCGTCGATGCATTACATCTGGTCCTCAGTGATTCGTCTACTGAAGAGAAGCACTTGGAATTGAATAAAAGGATGTGAAGTAGGTTTTTGCATATTGAAGACTATTATTAACTATTGTCCGTTCATGTCAATCATTGTATCTGAGGGTACTTCAGCTTTTGGACTCGGCGCTGTCATCTCATATCAACTTCTGAACGCGTTATAAAAGTCTATTATGCATTCATCCCACACATCAACTCCGGCAGAAAATTACAGTCAGATAGAGAAGGAGGCATTAGCCCTTGTCTTTGCTGTGTCTCGTTCCCACAAGTTTTTATATAGTTGAACATTTACTCTACTAACAGGTCATAACCGTCTCCTGAAATTTGTTTGCTTGAACTCTGTTATTCAAAGCCATTCTTTAAGTCGTCCCCATGGTCAGGCAGAGGCTTTGTCACGACCTATCAAAGAAAGACATGGTTATCGTCTCTCTTTCAACAGAAGACCACGCAGGATTTTGCTTGACTACTGCCATTCGTGGTGACATGGAGCCTGATATTTGGAGAGACATTGATTGTGCCAGAATCCCTGTCATCTAATGTTTTGTAGTAGTTTCGTACTGGGCTGAGAATGGCCCACAGCCTGATGCTGCCAAGAACGACACCACTATAGACTAAGTTTCAGGAGCTACCGACGTACGAGGTTGGATGTCCGGTGGTCGTTTCGGAGTACAGACCAAACCATGATCTTTGGGCAGACGTACGTGTGGTCAGAATGCGGATACTTGTCATGTATGAAGTGGAGGTGAGAAGAGACAGGTGGACTCAGTACGAGAGCCATAAACGTGAACGGTTAGCCCCGGATCTATTGCCTGACGTTCTGATAGACACCTTCAAAGTAAGACGGTCGCAAAGATAGACGTTCATAAACAAATCGACCAACATCCCAGGAGGTGGTCACATCGACAACAACTACAAACAGTCAAGATGTAAGTAAACACCCAGCAAATAAGCTATTAAAAATGGAGTGGTGCCAAACTTATTCTTTTTGTGATTTAACTGTAGAAATCCGAGTTACAAGTTTTCTCGCCAAAATTTCATTTTTTATCTTCAGTTTGTGTTTCCCATCTGGAAGTGTGTTAAACGTCATTGGTTAGTTCTTGCTTCCAGAACGTTATCTTGTGACATTTTCAAGGATATTTTGTCGCATATAAACGCATGAGTTATGTACTTGATGTTTGGTCTTTCAGGATGCTTATGGAACTGTATATATATATTTGGATGTATCTAGCCTTCTTCCTCTAGTTGACAGAGGAATAGCTAGGTTTATCCTGTTGTTGAGTTATTGACTTTCGTGCTGCTCGCGGGTCCTAAGTGATATCTTTATCTCTCGAACATAGCAATAGAGCTTTTCACAAGCTGTGTTTTATACTCTCTCCTGAGTCTTTCCAGGGTTAAGGGGTTACATTTGTGATTTAACGCTATAGAGGCTGATTTGGTTAGTACCTAGTGGCCTAATATACTTTAACAGCATTTTGTTTTGAAGATAAAAGGATTTGAGTTTTAGTCCGAAGGAAGTTGAATATTTACGAAGTCCTCTCCATAGTACTCTGAGTTGGCAACTTATCTGGATAAATCCCTTAAGACTGTTCAGTCGATTCTCACATAGACTTCAATTTTGATTGTCCATGATCATGTGTGCATGAGAATTTGGACATTTGCCTCATACGCTTTTACACAAGCTGCGACTGATTCGTCATTATTGGCTGAGGTAGGAACGTTAAAACTTTACAAAGTGGTAACACATGATCTAAGTTTGTGAAGTGCTACAGACTGCACGGATTAATAGGTTGATAGACATCATATCCTCACTACTGATGTATTGGACAAGCAGATGAAGGTCATCCACTTTCAGTACTTGCGTTATAATAGTCATTATCCATTACTTTGTGATCTAATTACGTAACTCGAGAGGAGTGTGTTATGTCTTCTGATGTTATTCTAAATTATTACGAGTCCCTTCTACACAGAGATGATCTAGATACTTTGAAGGAGGGTTGTTTCGTCAATGATAACATAATCACATTCCATCTGGAGTACCTTCGCCATACAAAATTATGCCACTCGTCAAATATTCTTCTTATGGATCCAGCAGTATCTCAACTTTTAAAATTGATGGATGAGGAATCAATTAGATTGGTGCTGGATCCTCTAGAATTCAAGTCAAAGGATTGGGTATTTTTAGTGATCAATGATTCTGCTTCACGAGTTTCATCTGGTGGATGTCATTGGTCACTGCTGGTTTATTCACCACTTCTTGTACACGGTTTTTACCTGGACTCCCTGAACTCTAGTCCTAATTTTTCAGAGGCGATCACTTTGTGTAACAAGTTATGCACCTATTTAGGTGTTTCTTTTGTAGATATAAAGCTACCTAATGTCATAAAGCAAAACAACGGATATGATTGTGGAATATTTTGCATGGTATTCATAGAAATAATATGTGATATGATATTGAAAGGTGATATGTCCTGGCAGATGAGTCTGTCCACTGACATGGTTTCCCATCAAGTAATGCACAAAAGGAAGTCGTTACTAGAGTGTATCTATGGCTTATCCACAGCAAATGCGTAGGTTTGTCGCCAAAATTTCTAAGAGGGTCGTGAACTAGCAAACATAAACAGACCTGGTGTCTGTTTGGCGTTTTCTCATTTACAGACTGTTCATGTGTTAAATTTTATCCCAATATACACTGTAAAAAATATTTCTTTGTTCAGAAGTTATAACCAATAATGCGTTTGCCTGCTTGGGGTCATCACGCAGACGGAGGTTAGGGTGTATTTAGACTTGCTTTTTGTATCAGCTGTCTTTATTCGACATATCTGGTGGGTCAATTAGTCCCTGTAGGGTTTGCAGATGCTTTCAGGGCGAAATAGTAAGTTGATTTTTTCCCTAAGATCCCCACATATCTACACTTATATAATAAAATGTCTTGATAACTTAGTATTTATCACTTGCGTCATCCATGGTCTTGGCCTATATTTACCTAGATATTCTATGGTAAGCTTTGTAACCACTTTCTTTGGTGATGTCTTATGTTATCCATGACAATCAATTTAATATAGCCCTATTATTATGATTATTTAAACATATAAACATTGGTACAAAGAGGCACCAAGTAGATATGAGCCACATAAATCATTCGATTTGTGTGAAGACTGTGATACTGCCCGGGTGCCCAGACCGAAGCAGGTGGTTTTCTTAAGGGGCCACACCCCGAGCCTTTGACCTAAAGGTCTAACCCACAAGGCAGTGGAGCATCGTAAGGAGATGCAGTCCCATATAAGCCGGTGACCAACGGTTGCTTCATACACCATTTGTTACTGGAGCCCATGTACACCATTGGTTTGAGATCCGGTTAAAGTGCCGGACATTCGCTTTTCGTCCTCTCAATTTCGTAGACAATACCCGTGGTGTGAGAAGGCAGTGAGTAGGACTTCTCTGACAGAGGCTGTATACGCGTGGCCGTGTGAGAGCATTTCGAGAGGGAAGGTGGGCCCACCCCACTCTCGGCCATACCAGGGCATTTGGAGGTCTCACAGTTATATAATATACCCTTGTGGGCCAAGGTAATTTTGCATTGGTTCTCAGGAGAACCAAATACCATCCAGACTTTCACGTAAAAACCCAAACAGTGCAGCTCAACCCCGTTTAGCAGGGGAATCAGACACCGTACAGGCTTTAACGCTGCAGTCTGAATAGTACAGCTCAATCCTGTGGTGCAACTACACAGGTACCAAGCACCCTGATGGACCACAGCCCTAAACAATATCAGAGGAACAAATAAGTAACTTCATGTTCTAGTCACTGAACCTCAGAAATATGTAAACGTAGACCCATGAGAACTATATAGTGCTTTCATAAATCCGAGGCACCTCAAATTGAATATACCAGACTTTAAAATAATTTTATGTTGCAGTGATTCTCAGCAAATAACAAATCAAGAGAATCAGCTTTTTATCAGTTATGGGTTTTGTGGCTAGTGAAAAGATAACTAATTGATTTCCAAGCTAGAAAGCTTAGACTGTATATAACTTCCGGTCAAACGTTTTAGGTATTTAATATTAACTCCCTAACGGTGACGATCATTTCGGAATTAGATGAGGTGTGCTAAGCACTCAAATCACAGGCTTGTTGGAAACTCCGTTTTTAAGTTGATATTTTTGTTGTTTGCAGGAAAATTGGAATGTGGTAAGTCTTTCACTACTAGACAACATGGACTGGATAGTGTGTTTAAGGAAATTACTGATATTCAATGTATGATTTGTATGGTAGTTGCAAAATATGTTGCGTGCGACGTAGTTGCGTGGCAGTCCAACTCACCACATCTGATACGAGAATGGTAAGTAAAGATCTTGAGGTAAAAAGAGAAAATGGATTTACAAATGATAATTCTAAATCCAGGAATAACCCAACAGAAAGTGAAAAAAACCAGTGATGAAGATGAAAAGAATGATACGTTCATGGTTCAGAAGAAGAGTAAATATATCTGCATTGACACTACTGATTTTAGGTGATCGCCTCTAGCTTCTGTGGTAGTACTGGCCTGATATCTTATGTTAGTGATTATTATCTTTGGTTCTGGCTAGTGAAAAGTTTGCGTGTTAATAAGTCCTAGGTGTACATGTGTTGTTTTTAGCCGATGATGCAGTAGCGAATGTTATTTGGGAAATCTAAGCTACAATGACTATTTCGTCTCGATAATAAACTTTTTTAATGCTGAAATAAAAATTTGTCATTTCACTATTGAGTTCAATGCTGTATATTCTTTTTTGTCTTTAAACCATTAAAGTGCGAAGTTCAAGGGAATGGTGTTAAAGTTACTATTGCTATTCACTTAGTAATCAATCATCATGATTTTCAAGGGAAACTTGCTTATGGATCTTATTGTGTTGTTAGCCAAGGGTATTCTACGTCCAGCTTAATTCTATTTCAGCATGGATGTTTTTTATAGATTAGTTTTTGTCACCAACATAAATATTATTCACTCTCTTGGAGATTATCCGATCTTTAACGTATTCAGATATCTGTTTAGATATTAAACTAGCAAATATAAGTTTTTCCATGCTTTCTGCACTTATTAAGTATGGTATTTGATCCTGCCCATCCCTAACATAAATGTAGAAAGCGAATTGATTAATCTCTTTTTCCGTTCTGCTTATACAAGTGTTGACGCTGATTCTCATAGAAAAAACATAGAGCTACACAAGTAAGCCACTTCACCTGTAAGACAAAATCTTTGAACTTAAAGTGTGCTCTTAAATGGTTTGCATCTAGAATTGCTTTGGAATATTGTTAGAAGGTATTACAGCTAAAACTGATCAATTATTCTGTAGTGTTTTACATTATTATTTGTGTTTGTGGGTCACAAGAGCTTGTGTATTCGATTAGTGCTTTATTTTCTGCTAAGATTATTATTTTTTTAATGAATTTTTTCATCTTAGCAATTTTGTTACTTGTAGATGATTAATCCCATCAAATGTATTCATCCAATTGTTTATTGGGGTCAGTCGGAAGAATATGTATTTCTTTCTATTAAAGTAGCCAATGCAAATGTATGTTCACCTTGATCTTCAATCAGTAGATGCTTAGGTTGATTCGATTGTTATCAACCAAGAAGACTTTATGTTTTCTGCAATGGGCACTGGAGCTGATGGTGTTAATAAATATGAATTTTCTATCTCATATTATCTCCCTATAATCCCTGAAGTAAGTTCTTATGTTTAAGATGTATTCTACTTGATTTTATTCTCTTTTTATTTCTCACCGCTAAATTTCTATCAAGCTGCTTCATCGTTACAATAATTAAACCTGCTTATTTCATTTCAGCTTGATTATCCTGAAAGAAACACTTGCTTCCGTGATTAGACCGTTCCTTTTTCTGTGATGATAAAATGATTTGCAACTTGATCACCTACATCATAGAGAGAAAATTCAGAGGTGATTATGAGTTAAAAGCCTTCAACAAATAAATATCTTAACGAAACAAAAAGGAAAAGTTGCCAGTAATGATAAAAAAGAAGAAATACCAAAACAAATGAAAAGAAGTGAATTGTGTTTTTGCCATACGTAATAGGCTGTTCGGTTTTACGCTAATCTGTTAGGTGATATAATTACTACAGAACTCATTTTGAGCCATTTCTAAGTGATCTTAATCAACACGTATCATTTTATAATTTGTCAGTAAATCTCAGACTTTCTCATATGGTTTAAATCAGTGACCGATGACTTGCTTGTCTAACAAGTTTAATTCGATATTTCAAATCGGAAATGATAGTGGATGTGTATGAATATCGTGCATCTCAAACACCATGCGAATTCTATCCCGTAATTCACTAACTCACAAGTTTAAGATAAGTAAAACTAATCTACATCAATTTGTCATAGAATTTAAGTATAGTTGGTGGCTGTATTGTTAGACATGAATGATTAAATTGTAATCTCTAGGATTGAAATATGATAACTCACAACTCTACTACTGCTCCTTAATGTTTCACTAATTATATAGCTCGTCCCCTTTTTTATACCTTTAATACATTATAAACGAGTATCATATTTTTAAGTGAGTATAACCTCTATGTAACATGAGTATTCTTATCACTGAAATACCACCTTATGTTTGATTAACATAATTTACTTATTTAAAAACGTTTATCTCACTAATATTATGACCTGTGTATTAACTTTTTAGGAAAGTCGATATGTCGTTACAAGTTTATCTGTTAATGTTAAATTACGAAAAGAACTTAAAGATTCATGGTCAAGGTTAACGTTAGGAAATCAGCGTCTACCTTGGGTTCGTCCTGATTTCGATCGTTATCAGTTTAATGACTCTGATTTGGAAAATAATGAAGAAGAATGTCTCAATGTTAACGTTGTACATCCATCAAAAGAGGAGAGAGTAAGTTTATTCTTTATCCATTGTTTATATTTATTCAAAAAAATCACTTAACAAAATAGATGAATAGAAATAATCTTTATCAAGGATTGTTTTTATGAGTACATTTCTTTTGCTTAGTGGTTTTCTCATCATAATAGATCAATCAGATTGATGGAATTTCGATCAGGAGAATTACGACAACTTGAATCAATGTAGAGCACTATACCAGGACTGTTACTTGTCTAACTAATCCATTAGGCTTTAACGTTGATGAAATACACATTAATTTAAATATCATAATCGAAATACTCAGACATTTTAACAAAATTTCTGTATACTGTTACAAAATACAGTGTTTTTGCTGATGTCCAGAACGGCAACAAGAACTTTAAAGTTAAACCATATAGCTCGGAGATCATAATCTGTTCACTTAATGGGGAAATTGTCTTAGTCATTACAAAACAAGGTGCTACGATTAGTTTTGATCTTTATCTAGTTTGACCTAGTAATTAAAGCGGTTTGAAAAATCAGTTGCTACACATGTAAATTATGTTTTGTAGTGAATTAAAACACCGTCTATTTTGCAAACATCAAAATCAAGTAGCATGCAAAGGTTTCAGGTATGTTTGACCGTAAGTCTATTCCCAATAGAACAGACAAATCGTATGTTTTATTCAACCGAATTGGTTCACTGTTATCGAGTTTTATCACTATTTTTTTAAATGTAGCAGTTAATCTCCCTTTTTTATGATGTGTTTGGGTTTTAGGATAAGCATAATGCAGAACAAATGATGCTTATTGATGCAGAAGAATGGGAGGCATTTTTGAATCGTAAGTTGTACTTGATATTTTGTGCTAGGCTACTGAAACTAGTCATAATCTTTCATAAAGCTGGCAATATAAAATAATAATATACTTGTGATGAACCAATGGATATAAATTTTAATTTCTCACGTTTTGTGATGTAGTGTAGGCCAGTTCCTCATAGTAAATAAATGGATTAAATTGACATATTTAAATTGTATAAATGAAAAAAATGCTGAATATTTAGTTCGGTTGTTTATTTATTATAAAGAAGTGGCTTACACTAAGTCGAAAAGTTTTCAAGATTCAAAATTCCACTCACTGGATATCACAAATACATCATTACTTTGTTATTATTTACATTCTACCCAGTGCTCTATTTATCTAGAATTGTCTATTCAAACCTCTATATCGTTACCTACTGGTGATATCCGTTTTGGTAAAGAAACATATGCGGGTTCACGAAATAAAAGTATAAGATAAATTCAGAACTCAAGATCTAAGGCAATGAAACAAACACATACATCTAGGCCATTTGAGCCAATGCTAATTCATGTCGCTCGACGTTCTCAGTTATCGGTTACATTTTATTTATTTATTTAAAACACATAAACATTGGTACAAGGAGGCATCAAATATATATTCACCACACAATAACAATGAGACAAGTAGCAATTATCATTAATATGTGTGAGGGCTGTGATACTGCCCGGGTGCCAAAACCGAAGCAGGGGTTTCCTTAGGGTGACACACCATGAGCCTTCAACTTAAAGGTCTTATTCATAAGGCAGTAGAGCAACTTTGGGAGATGCAGTCCTATGGTAGCCGGTGACCAACGATTGGTTCACATGCCATTTGTTCCTTTAGGATGCTGGAGCCCATGTGCACCATTGGTTTGGAGTGAGGGTTTTCCAACTCCCCTAGGTGGACTCTCCATGTCCAGCAACCCAGTTAAGGCGCCGGACATTTACTTTTTGTTCTCTGAATTTCGTAAACTACACTGCCCCTATGAGAAGGCAGTGAGCTGGACTTCCCTGTCAATGGCTGTATACGCGTGGCCATGTGAGAGCATTTCGAGAGAAAGAGCTGACTTTCCCCACCCTTGGCTATACCAGGAAATTCGGGGGCATCGTTACAATAATCACACAGGCTCCAACCAAGTCTGCATCTACCAATACGGCTCAGTCGGATAACCGATAGATTAATAAACTGATGCCGCGTTTTGACTTGATCACTCTTAGCCTTCTTCCAACTTACTCATACACCAATATCAGCGAAGTAAACTATTAATGATTAAACCAAAATAGGTGGATCGGGGTTCGAATCTGTAATTGATCGGTCTATAGTTTGATGTTTTGGACATCAAACCTCTGTTCCATGGATGTTGTCGGGATTCTTACCTACCCCATATTTCCCCATCTTGTTCGAGTCCCTGTTTTGGTCATGTACTGAGAGTTAAAAACACCTTAATATCATAGTAGATATAATTTACTACGATGTCTAGTGATAAAGCATTCAATTGATTTTAAACTGTAACTTGATTATTCAAAATTGTAAAGATATGTTGTGCCGGACGGTCATCTGATACTGATACTGGCAAACACACTGTGTGAACACAACATGAGTGAGAAAACAAGGGTTCAATAGGAAACTTTATTGAATAGCTGGATCAAATGTGTCCGCATACTCATTCACAAATATTGATGTCTCTCGGATAATCAAGCTAAACTTCGACCAATAACATGCACTCATCAGCACCTATCTTTTGACCCTAAACTGATATCTGATTGCTTGAGCCTACCAATTAGTTTTACTTATTTGAATTCTTTAAATTCCATGTATTATTACTAGTTTCATGACATGCTATTTTTCATCCTTTTTTCAGTGATTAAAAATCCTTTGACAATTTATTTATTCCTCTTTAATGTCGTTCAATTCGCCGGTTATCTTTATGTTTGTGGAGCTTTGGTCTATGGATTAATGCAGTATAAAGAAGTGCATAAAATACCATTTTATGAATGGATTATCGATAGATTAGTTTTTGTGCAAATTTTATCAATTTTGGAACCGTTGCATGCTTCATTAGGTTGGATTCGTGGTGGGAGTGCCTTACCTTCAGTTTTTCAGGTAGGTGTGACTGTTTAAAGTGGGGATTGGTTTTACTTCTGCCGTTATGTGGTTTATTTCATGTAAACTGTAGCTTCAACAGGTAAAATGATCGAATTCTTACTGTATTTCAACTTGACTAGGAGCAGTTCAAAATACCTATTAATGTAAGGGGTTTGTGGTTATTTTTGAGTTTTATGGTTTGCATCACGAATTAGCCTTATTTAGACGACCAGAAAAATACCAGGAAGGACTGGACAGCCGTTTCATTCTATCATAGGACTCCTCAGCAGTGTTCATCCACGGTCCACTATCATGTGCTGAGTAGTAACCAATTCAGAGACATAATTCCTGCAATTCTAGTGGCCAGCGGAGTTCTCAGTCATGTTTAATGTAAGGAGGTGACCCACCAACCGTATCGGTTGATGAATACATAATAATACGACTTAACTGAAGTCCAGAATGTAAGCCGTTAAATACCGACTCAATAGTTTAAGGGATTCGCGTTTGCCCTGAGTTCTAATCTCTAGTGTGATTGTGCATATTTATTCCTGAGGACGGAACACTTGTCCAGTCCTTCCTGGTTTTCAGTGAATGTTGAACTCAGGCTAATTCATAATACAGATTACAAAATTTAAAAAAAATCAATCGCTTGGTTATGTATAGCTTGTGGTTAACGTTTCTTAGAATTTTAGTGCTAATTTTATAAGACGGTGATAAATTCATACTACTATTGTTCAGTTTTTGATTTCTTCAGTAGATAAATGAGAATTTGCTTCAAATTCTAGGCATATAACAAAATCCACCTGTAAATATAGTAAGAAAATTTCTTCTAAATACTTGTTATGTCAGTTTGATTATGCTTGAATACTGTGAAGCAAGTCAATTTCATTATTTATTTGTAAGGCGTGATTACACAATGTACATATTGAAAACGTTTATTTACTTTTATTTCAGTGATATATGACTGTAATCACGGTTTTACAGAACTTTCAGACTACAACAGTACACAATTAATATGTTTTGGTTGGAGTGTTTCTATTCTTCGTAGGTGATTTTAAGTTTATACCTAATGAATTGTTTGTTACACACTGTTATTTCGTTCGGCGAATAACGATCTTCTTTTGTATAGCGTTTTGCTGGAAAAGCAGGATTTTAATAGTACTGTAGTGAACGAGAACACAATTGAGGACAACAGAATGTATTTCGATACAAAATTACCGAATCTCTTGGTAAAATCTGAGACCCATACATAATTCATTTGCAAAATGTCAATCAATAGTCTCAGATTTGATTGTTCTTTCGTCTCCACATCAATCATTCTCTGTCCCCGTTCTCTTTCCTTCGATCTTCTTAACCTTCTACCTCCAGACATTTCACTTTCAAATGATGATACATACTACCTATATCTATCGACATCATCAGCACACACCACAGTACTAACAAAGGAATAGTTTATTTCATCTATTAATACTTATTGTTTCTAGTTTTAATACAAGTATACCAATTGCTGTTCTTATGCCCTAATTTTGTTCTTTATCTGTGGTTGGAAACGAGTGACATGACTTGGAATCAGTCACAATAGAAGTAGATCTATTTACCTATCAGTCTTCCGTTAGATCTTGAGTTTTAAAATTATCATAGGATTTCCTACTCCATTAATTCATTGTTCATTTTTCATCGAATCATATGGCGTGTACTCAATCTTTTGTACTACGACTGATACTATTACTACTTCATCTACTTTGAAATTTGTCTTGGTAATTTCATGTTTCCACTGCTGATATAGTGGGGTAGTTTTATTTATTTATTTGAATACATGAACACTGGTACACAGAGGCACCAAAATGTTTTGCGCCACACTTCACCCGGAATACTCTCCGGGCGTTCAAACCGAAGCTAGTGGTTTTCTTAGGGGGCCACTCCACGAGCCTTTGACCTAGAGATCTAATCCAAAGACAGTGGAGCAGCGTTAGTAGATGCAGTCCTATGGTAGCCAATGACTATTAATAGGTTCATACACCATTTGTTTTCCCAGGATCCCGGAGCCCATGTACACCATTGGCTTGGAATGAAGTTTTTCCAACTCTCCTAAGTGGATCCTCCATACTCATCAACCCGCTTAAAGCGTCGGACATTCGTTTTTCGTCTTCTCAATTTCGTAAACCACACTACCGCCACGAAAAGGCAGTGAGTAGGACTTCCCTGTCAGTGGTTGTATGTACGTGGCCATGTGATAGCATTTCGAGATGGTGAGCTGACTCTCCCCATCGTCAGCCGTACTAAGGCATTCGAGGGCATAACCGTTACTCATATTATTTTTAAAATAAAAAACTGTCTGTGATCTTGTGATATTCTTGTTAGTTTGGTTCAAATATAGGCAAACGTTTTTGAATAATATCTAAACATGAATACAAATGCTGTACATGGCGTACTACACTTATTAAATGTCAACATTTTTAACATTAAATGACTGATACGCGACATTTATTAATGGAAGTAACACTTACTTACGTAATCATTAATGTTAACAGTGGTTGTTTACCAATAGGATAAACGTGACATGGGATAGTTTTTTCTGCTAGTGTTTTGCAATCAACAATCAATTTTCAGATTGTAGTTCTTGTTTCTAGATTTACATCTGTTAATTGAAATTTAAAATTCGACTGATTGAAGTCTATACACAGCAAATCTTGTCCACGAATATTAGTTGACTTCAAAAAGTTAACATTTCGCCTACAAAATGTTCTAGATTGTAAAACTTATCAGTGAATGAATATAATCCAGTTCATGTTGTATGTTTTAGGTGTTCATTTTAACTATTATCTTCCTGGTTTATTTGTTCTATTTGAAGATCATGACCTCAATGTTAAAAGTAAAGGGAGGAGTCATTCAATCAAACTGTAGTCTAAATCTTCAAATTGTCATAAAAACTCACTCTTGAATGTTGTAATCTGATGAATATGTTTCCGTGCAAATTACCATAAGATCGTTTAAGAATCATCATAAACCACTATGCAACATATTAAGTATTACGTAGCATTTTTACATAAAAAATTATGTTTTTTCTAAAATAATTCCAAATTATCTCACTTCTGACAACTTTCATGCAGACTTATGACTAATCACACCTATCATATTGTTGTGAACGAGAACGCAGGTGGGAACAACCAACGTTTTTTAACACAAAATTACAGAGTTCTTTGGGGAAATGTGAAAACCATACGTTCAGTACTTCATTTTCAAATCCTCCATCAATTGTCTTAAACGTCATCGTCCTTCATCGCCACAGCAACTACTGTCTGTTCCTGTTCTCTTCAATTCTATCTTCCCAACCTTCTGCTGTCAGACATTCCACTTCCGACTGGTGTTATATATTATATCGACATAAATAGCATACATCGTAATAGTAGTGGGATTAATCCTTTCTTCAGTAATAATCATTTTTGTCCACTTAACTAATATTCTCTTCTGTGATCTAATTATCTACCTCTTACATAAAATTGATCGACCACTAAATAGTCACTTAAATAAATATCACTCAGAGTCGCAGTTGAGTAGGTTTATTTAAACTCTAACGGACTCCTTTTGAGTGTCCTCATGAAATGTAATAACTAGTTTTTCAAGAATAATCTCTGTTACAATATTCGGTTCTTTGTACGCTTACTTAGCTTTTTAATGGTTTTTAAAATTAAAACCAAAAATTTTTATTCATAAATTTTTTTGTATTCTGCCCATAGTTGTTTGGTCGTTCCCTTGTTTTGTTTTGTATTGTATTGCCACATGCTGAATTCCATTCTGCGTCTACAACTTATTGGCTTTTCTTTTCATGGAGTCTCATCGAAGTTGTTAGGTAAGTGATCTGCGCCCACTTTAAACCGAACATCTCATCATCCCATCGTTAATATTGTATTTTTAGTTTTCATGAGAAGTACGACCTTGTGAGGTGCTTTTACATTGTAGAGCATTTTCCATCTCTTATTAGCTGTTATGTTAGCGAGTCTCTCTTGATATGTGTAACGGTTTTCGTAGATGGCATTCGTCATGACACTAGTTGAGGTGCTATCGAGAACCAAGGAAGATAGAACAGCTGTTTCACCTTAATACAGACTTGTCACTAAGTCACACTTGACTGGACACTTGTGAATCAAGACATAAATGCCCACCACAATTATTTGAAACCAGCGAAACGAAACTTTCCAAACTCCACCGATAGGTACACCTCAGTAAATTGCAGAGTATAAAGTTACAGAAAAAGGTGTCGAGACATGCATAGTCCTACGGGTACACACTGTGAATGGAGCGTTATTTCGATTTTTTTTATTTAGGTCTCGATAAAAGCGACTGTCCGTCGATATCGATCTATGACCTTAGTCATGTCTTTTTTAAAAACCTCAAAGTAATTCAGTTAAAAGCCTTTTTTCCTTAAAAACAATAAATCTGTCCTTTTGGTTGTCAGGGTCTTTTAAAGTTTAGATGCTTTGTATAACCTTGTTTTTATTGTTCTATAATAAGTCTGTTCAATACTATATGTCTAGTACAATATGGGATTTTCAGCGCATACAATATTTATTCGTTTTATATCACAAAAACAATGAAATAATAGGTAAGTGCATGCATATGTACATGAAAGAAGTAAATAACCTATCTAGAATTAAATTAAATACTTCAAAGAGACAAAGAATCTATACAACTTTGAATTACTAACACATTCATGAAAATAAGTTTTGATTGGTTCAAGTCTTACAACCTGTTCGTCGTATAGTAGATGTACAAGATACGTTATTATAGAACTTTTGCACTTTTGTTTGCGTGCATAAATTCTAATGTATTAGCATCTCTTCCTACCAGAAGATGTCATTGAAGTAGATGGTTAGTTTTTGAAAAAAAAGCTTCCCATTATTTTGAAAGATTTCAACTGTCTATCCACAATCATATTCATGATAGAACAAAAAGATTCACCATACATACCTTTCTCAAAACGTCAGGGAAGGATAATAGAGAACAGTAAATAATAATATACAATATTGAAAAAAAGCATTTACAAACCGCACAAAGCAAATGTCAAATAATCCTCGACCTCCTCTAGATTCGGTATTTAAGAATAGCTTTCTTATAAATTATCGGTGATAAGTAATAGCGTAAAAATGTAACCTCTCTATATAATGAGTCAGACAAGAAACTTTCTTCATTATTAATAAAACATGAGAATACTAATAGAAGTCCAAGTAAAAATTTGCACCAAGAGACGTAGTTTTTATTACAGAATTTCCAATAATACAAACTTTATGAGATTCCAAAAAGGTGTTTTTATGTTCTGTTCATGTCTCAAGCTAATGGTTGATAGCTTGACACTGAAAAGGTTTTAATGTAAGCCTATTAGAAATAGAGTAGTAATGTATATATTAACTCATTCTAAGCGTATTTACGTTCTAGTCTAATGTATGGATATGTAATTGATCATTGAACCGTATTACGATTTACCTGTCCAGTGAATGAATTAAAAAACAAAAACGAAATTCGATATTAACAGGAGAGATTGTGACATTATTAGTTTATGTGATTAAGGCACTTGATTTTCAATTATTATTTCTCACATATGAACTCTATTTCACGTAATTCGTCTTTGACAACTGATTAGTAAATCATTGCCTACATTCTACCTAAATATCAAGTATAATTGAAAACCGTAGAAACCTGTACACGTTAGTAAATATGATACATTTCACGTCGGGTTCACCACTTTTGTTATGCTACTGATCTGACTCCGATTTAAATGAATGTATGAATATGCAAAAAGCACAAAATTTCCATTTAACTCCGTATATCACCTAGGTTAACCCCGTTTGTATGAAAGCGGTAATTAAGAATTTAAATACAGGTTGCGTTGGATGAATTTATTTTAGGCATTCGTTTATCCAGAAAAATATTCAGAATAAGAAGTGGATCGGAGAAGGTGAGTAAGCCAACTCGTTTTGATCAAGCATGACTTAGTATTTATTTATCAAACAAAAATAAACTTAACACAGTCAAGGTTAATAAGTAAGTAATCAACAAGGTTAAAATGTAACTCACGAATAAATAGATATTGGTACAAGGAGGCACCAAGTAGATATGCGCCACACAAATCTCATTTGATTTGTGTGAGGGCTGTGGTACTGCCCGGGTGCCCAGACCGAAGTAGGTGGTTTTCTTAGGGGGTCACTCCACGAACCTTCGACCTGAAGGTCTGTTCTACAAGGCAGTGCAGTATCGTAAGAAGATGCAGTCCCATGTAAGCCGGTGACCACCGATTGGTTCATACACCATTTGTTCCCGCGGGATACTGAAGCCCATGTGCACCATTGTTTTTGGATCCGGTTAAAGTGCCGGACATTCGCTTTTCGTCCTCTCATTTTCGTAACCAACACCCCCGCCACGAGAAGGCAGTGAGTAGGACTTCCCTGACAGAGGCTATATACTCGTGGCCATATGATAGCATTTCGAGAGGGAGAGCGGACTCTCCCCACTCTCGGCCATATCAGGGCATTTGAGGGCAAAAATATGGAACGCTTCACGATTTTGCGTGTCATCCTTGCGCAGGGGCCATGTTAATCTCAGTATCGTTCCAATTTTAGTATATGTACAGCCGAAGCGAGTACTGTACAAGAATAAATAAATCGATCTGTTTAGTAGCTAGAATAATCCATATGGACTTAATATATAGTACTAGACATTACAAACTATTAACAAATATATTTATGAATGTAAAATATACTGAACAGCATGTTATATTTTAATTGTGAGTTTAAGCTGATAATGTTGTTTTTCTTTAAAGAATAAATTATGATCGGTATACCTAATATGTTTGTTGTTTTTCTAATATTCATCTGTTTTTTATATATACCCCATTGACTCGTTTATTTTTTCTTCTATTACAGATATTCATATTACATTTTATCATTATTAAGTTTTCGAAATGGACTTATCACTTATTTACGTCATACATTTTGGATAATATTATATCCTATTGGATTTATATGTGAAGGTAAATAAGAATTAAAAAATAAATAAATAATACCGATAGGTTGTCTTTCTAATGTTCTTGTTTTTTTTAGTGAATTGTATTTTATTTATTTATTTTTTAATGGAGTTTTGTTCTCTGAGCTGGATGGTTTGGTCGTGGAGTTTTCATTGTTCTTTTGAATGACATCATCAGCAAAAACTTCAGGTAGAAGTAGACTTTACACTAGAAGTAGACTTCTACCTGAAGTTTTTGCTGCTGATGATGTCATTCAAAAGAACAATGAAAACTCCACGACCAAACCATCCAGCTCAGAGAACAAAACTCCATCAAAATCACCCAGCTGCACTACAAATCTCCATCTCAAAATTGTATTTATTCTTTTATTTTTTTTGCTCTATAAAAACTATTTATACTATAAAACTATTTATTGAGTTTATGCCTTTCACCATTCGAACATCATAATGTTTAATGTGGCGATATGGATCTATACACGATATATACCACATTTTACATTGATTTTGATTATGTAACTAGTAGACAGACGTAATTTTATTATTCAGTTATAAGTAGAATTTCGTATTCTTCAAGATTCTCATCTAAAGTTGCTTGTCATTAAATTTTGTGTCTAAATGTGAATATTAAACTCTCTTTATGGAATATAACACATAATGTTGTGAAGAATATTGACTATTCTCTTTTCTTTTCATCATCCTCTTAAGGGCTTATGAAGGTGTTAGTAGTGTGAATGTGGCTTTAGAAATTCTTGTACACGTTCTATTAATAATGCTTTGGCAAAACTATAGTTTATGGACGAACTAATCAGATGTAAGATAATAGGTCTTGAATTTTGGCTTGAAATTCATTCATCCATTTGGCTACCTAACGTTTTGGTATTTTAGCTGATGTCAGCTCGTGATGAAAATTCTAAATCTAATTCCCAACAACCCTCATTTAGTCCTAGTTAGTAGGTGGACATTCTCAAGGTCACTTTAGCGTCTCTCAAAGGTCGTCCATAAATTTTAGTCTCACGGATGCTACTTTTTATTATCTTCGTAAATAGTATGTTATTCAGATCACGAACCAGTCTCAGTTAGACAGCCATTAAAAACCTGGAAGCACTGAACAGTCGTTTCGTCCTGACATGGGACTCTTGAGCAGCGTGCATCAACCTTAAATCAGTAACTCACTCGTCTACAACGTACGACCAGGTACATATATGTGTCGGTCCAAGTTGCCACACCTCATTAGCATAACAAGATGAACGCCGAATACATATAAGGATATGATAGAGGGAGAAACACTTCGTAGAAAGAAAGGTATAAAGTAATTTTAATCTCATGGTTGAAGGGCAGACAGAGTTATCTGCCGACGCTATCGTGATCGATTCTGATTCATGTCACCCAGAGTCTCCAAACATTGGTTATGATAGTCGTGCGGAACCGACCAAATAGTCTGCATCTACCAACATGGCTCAGACGCAAAGTTAGTGACTTTCTGGATTGACATCACGTTTCTGTTTGGCCTCTCCTAACTTTCTACCATCCGTCGCTAACAATAGTCAGCAATGCGCGCCGTGGTGGTCGGTGGTTGGGCATGTGTAATATGTGGCCGAACCATCTCAGTCGATGAAGATCCACAACCTCATCCCCTAATACCCTGGCGTCTAACCTCAGTATTACTTACCGGGTGATCCCAGCTGATGTGAGCAAAATTTCTAAGACACCTGTGATCAGATATTAGTAAATTACGAGTATCCTCTACCCTCAATGACCATGTGTCGCGTCCGTAATATAAAACAGAACAAACTGCTTCTCAGTCTTACGTGAGAACATTGGACCTCTAAACTACTAAGCCGGAATCAAATGATGCTCAGTTCATATGTACTCAGTGACTTAATTCAAGAGGAAATTTCTAGGTTTATAGTTAGAAGCTAAATCATGTCAAGTATGAAAAAGTTTCCCACTGAAGGTAATGAAACATGATCACGCAATATCATAAATGGATGGATTAAAGTTTGACTTTTACACCACTAGTAGTTTTGCATCAAGATAGTGTACATCATGTTATATATATATATATCTTTTCACCTGTTTGGGTCAACGTCTGGTTAGTTATTATCGCAGAATAAATTACAATTAGCTATACAATAGTAGTAATTATACATCTATATTATCATCTAGTTTATTTTATTGTTTAAACTTTCATTTAATGGATTCCTTTTTTTAACAGAGTTGATAACTTTTTGAAGGAAGAAAAAACACTGAAGTAATTCTGTCAATATTTTTAAGGTTTTGAATCTTATCCTACTGCTGATATTTAGGATTGAATTTTATTCAGTCTTTGTTGGGATTGTTATAACTTGTGACCGCCGATCAGAGAGCGGCGAATTATCAATCGGACCAAGAACGCGTAAAACACGTGCGAGCAGCCTTGAGTTCTGATTAGCCCTGCTTTCCGCCTCTGCAATATGAATCCTTATATTTAAAACATACTGAGTTTATATACCAATCAAACAGATCACAACGTACCAATAAAATATGAAACAACATTTGTACAGGGATTAGCCATATGTGGCTGTGAATCAGGGAGGTAGTATTTAATATACTGGGTATAACTCAAGAATGGTAAAACGTATAATAATAGTTTATGGGTCGAAATAAAGCTTATAATAAGAGGAATATGAATATCCATAGTTTAGTTACTTAATAATTATACAATAGAAATATACGTTTAGTATTGGTCCATAAATGGATCCCAAAAGTTACCATTCACTATTCTTGTCGGGACATAACAGGGATATATGTGAGTTCTCTACGGATCGCCTCTATGTATTATTCACTTTGCCGCAAGTTATTCAGAATAGATAAATACCATAACCAGCAATGGAATCCAGGACTGATGTTTCATATTATTTAGGTTTTGTTAGCTAGCAGCATGGTTAAATCGAGGTAGTCCATGCTGGATTCGCATATATGCCAACAACGATTTATTAAAATTCAGTCCTGAATATCAATCAATAACGGAATAATAGTTAACACCTTTTAAGCATTATACCTGTTGATCAGGTAATGGGTATTTGGACTAAGTAAGTCAGTGGTGAATACATGGGGTTGTGAAATGAAAGGTACTAGATTGAAGTCCCAATATGAACATAAACATTGAGATGCAGGTACATTCAGTTAGTGAGTCCTAAATAGGATGAAACTCTGCTTTGTGAACTTTACTGCTAACCACAATCCTACTGTTCAAAATTCTTAACTGACTAATTATTACTATTATCAACACTTAAATTGAGATTTAGTAATCAGCAATTCAACAGGGGATGTTTTTATTCTTGGTCTCTATATTTCCATCATTATTTATTGTGAGAAAATAATATGTATTCTGTCCTTTTTACTAATTATCAGGTAAATTAATAATTCGATCACTGCCTTCATTGGTTGAGTCTCGAAAATTCTGTTTAGAACTACCGAATCCAGCTAATGTTAGCTTTGATTTTACAACTTTTCTGCAAATCTATATATTTTCTATGTCTTTTGGTAAGTGAATTTTCGAGCTTATATTTATTAAACATGCTAACAACCAACGATATTTATGAAATGATAATTGCTCAGGCGAATTGTACAATGTTAGTTACTAAAAGGCGCCCGGCATGAAATCCTGCTTGACCTACGTTTTGTGCTAATACACTCGTCATTATTACGGTTTACCTTCCATATTGAGGGAAGAGATGCTCCCTCTAGGATTCAAACTTCAAGAGATGCAGTCCAATAGTAGCATACGATAAAACTATTTCATACATCTATTCTTTCCCTCATTATCTCGGAGCCACTCTCATGTATACCATTGTTTTGAGATCGGAGTTCTCCAACACCCCTAGCTAGATACTTCGTACACACCGACCCGGTTTCAGCATCAGATGTTCGCTTGTCATACTTTCATTCCCGTAAATTACTCCTGTCAACAGAATACTATCTTACTACTCTTCACCTACCTAATTTGTTTCCCCAACCCCGACGCCCAAAATACACAAATTTCTAATTGGACAGATAAATTATATTCTTTTTTATTTATACAGTATTTTATTGATTTTTATTTTCTCCGCAGGTTTATACTATAATATGAGACATTTATATTTGAGGCGGCGTAAAATAATTGGTCCTCGACCAATTAAAGGAGCAGATCAAATGGGTTATTTTTCTTTTGTACCATTCTTGCGTTCATTAGTTCGTGGATCAAATATGAAAAATCTCTCTACTACCACCAGTACTATTAAAAAGAAGTATGTAGGTAATCGCAACAGTTTACCGAAATTAAACTAACTTATCTCTTCGCATAACATGTATAGTTCCATGATGTAATAATTGTTAAATGAAGTGATATTTTATTCTATTTATCTTAATGAATAAATCAATTGTTTTTTATTGTCTAAACATTTTTCTTATTTCATTGAAATTATGGACCGATCAATGTTCGACCAACTTTGAAAACCTGAAAGTATTGGACGACCGTTTCGTCCCAGTGTGGAACTCCTCACCAATGCTCATCCACGATCCCGCATGCGGGATTCTAATTTTTGTTTTATGCGAATATTGCATAATTTCATAAACTTTCAAAGTCTTTGATATTATTTAGTTAGACAACAATGTTAAATAGATATATCTGTTTACCAATTGTATGTTTCAGTATAACGGGTTAGTGACAAAGTATATAATTCCTCGATGTGATAATTAGGCAAAACAGCATATTGTACAACGGTGGTAATAAAAGATATATATGATATGTGCTGGAAGAATTTTTCCAAGGAGTCACTATTTAAGCGGACAGATGATGAGTGGAAATTGGATAAATGCAGGATGGGGATGGTAGTATATATATATATATATATATATATATATATATATATATATATATATATATATATATATACTTAAATTGTTTTTAGTGCATTCAGTTGTACACACCAACTGGATTTCTGACCGAATGACGCTTACTAATGGGTAAAGTAACTTTACGGCATCGGTTTGAGAGTATATAAAAAAAATCATATAATAATAGTGTCAGAGCAATCGCTGAATGCGACAATGTAAGCTGTGAGCTTCTCAGAATTATATTGATACATGATTATAAATGTAATCTGTACACAAACGGTCAGATTTTATTTTCACCTTATGTGCATCTAAAAAAATAAATTAGTAGCTTCAAAGTATACGAGTAATCTGTATATTGAACTGTATATAGCTTAAATCTGAATCTTGGATTTGATAAGTGCACTATTTTTAGTGAATGATAGATAATGGGGTGGATTTTTGCCTATAAACTTTTCTAAATACATAATCGTGCTAGTGATGTTTCTAGTAACTGAATCGTTATATTAAGTTGTAAGGTTGTGGTTGGAGAAAGCCGATAGGAAACAATGAGACTAGGTTTCGGGTTATTTAGTAATGGTCGACGGAGTGTACCTGCAATTTTGAGGCAACGAATGTTCCCCATCAAATCGGAACCCATACCACCCAGCATCACAGTCAAAAACGTTACCGCTGAACTGTTTGAACTGACCTCCCGAAGGACTCAGATATATTTGCAATTGATTGATTATTGAGTAGTGATCGACGAAGTCCTTATTGCTGATCGAATTCAATTGACTAAATTGTTATGTGGTGATTAGTCTAACAAACTCAACATTGTGTGCCCTATGTTGAGATGTAAGGTGGAGATTCGTTATATTGAGTCACTGAAGTAGACTTATTTACAGATCAGGTATGTATTATGATATCATTTCATTTCCTAACTTTTTACTGTCAAGAAAGATGCGTAAAACATTTTTCATCAACTCAAATTTGCTATTAATTACAGTCTATTATGTGTATTTTGTATATGTTGAAAAAAATAATATACAGTTTATTTATGTCTTATGCGAATAAATAAACTTTTATTAGTTAGTATTCGATGTCTTTTTGTCCGTGGTACGACCTAGTAAAAATTTTTTTTAGTTTGCTCTTAATCTTATTCATTATACACCAGTAAATGTTATATTTTCTTTGTCCATTCAAATCCTAATATTTGTTTATTGTCTAATTGGCTCCGGTAGCTTAGGCTACCAAGTGCCCTGATACGGCCGAGAGTGGGGAGAGTTCGCTCTCCCTCTCGAAATGATCTCACATGGCCACGCGTATATAGCCTCTGGCAGGGAAGTCCTACTCACTGCCTTCTCGTGGCAGGAGTGTTGTTTACGAAGTTGAGAGGACGAAAAGCGAGTGTTCGGCGCTTTAACCAGGTTGGTGGACATGGAGAGTTCACCTAGGGAAGTCGGAAAACCCTGATTCCAAACCAATAGTGCACATGGGCTCCAGTATCCTAATAGAACAAATGGTGTATGAACCAATCGTTGGTCACCGTCTACCATGGGACTGCATCTCTGTTGTGTCCCGATAAGAATAATGAGTGGTAATTTTTTGGGATCTATTTATGGACTAATACTGTGCGTGTATTTTTGTCGTATACTTGTTAGCTAACTAAACTATTCATATTCATGTCTCTCTTATCATAAGCTTTATTTTAACCTATGAACTGATATTATACGATTTTCCATTTTTGAATTATTCCCTGTGTATTAATTACTACCTCCCCGATTCACAGCCACATATGGCTAATTCTTGTACAAATGTTGTTTCATATTTTGTTGATACTTTGTGATCTGTTTGATTGGTATATAAACTCAGTATGTTTGAAATATAAGGATTCATATTGCAGAGGCTCGGACTGGTATTCTGGACTTAACTGGCTGATCTAGGCGGAAAGCAGGGTCAATCAGAACTCTAGGCTGCTCGCACGTGTTTTACGCGTCCTTGATCCGATCAATAATTCGCTGCTTCTGATTGGCGGCTTTGGGCTATAACAATCTCCTTACGTTGCTCCACTGCCTTGCGGATCAGACCTTCAAGTCAAAGGCTTCGGGTGTGGCCCCCTGAGAAAATCATCTACTTGGGTTTGGGCACTCGGGTAGTATCACAGCCCTCACACATATCAGATGAGATTTGTGTGATGTATATGTATTTGGTGCCTCCTTGTACCAATATCTATGTGTTAAAATAAATAAATAAAATAAACTGTCTCATAGAGACAGCTGTCTGAGATTGGTTACACACAGCCTTTTTGTGGGAAGTTTTTCAGGTGTTAGCTGCGTACTTTAATGATTTTACCACTGGAAACGGAAATGCATGTGGTAAGATAAGGTGTAGTGTTTTTAGAGTCGATCTTTCCTAACCCCTTCTTCCCATTGTAGGATGACAGGATCTCTGAGGGAAAATTTTTACTTTGATCACACCACTCTACAGTTAACAGTACGACTTCATCATCAGACCTTGAGTTTTTGCTTTTACTCATACTGTTCATCAACTGACCTATCTGATATAGTAATATCTAATGAGGAAAGTGTTCCAACCTATATAAGTCGGTTGGATCATGATGATAACCTCATCTACCCACCTCCTGAACCTATCAGCTATCGCTGATAGATAAATATTCATCAACTCACTAAATAAAAAAGTCTATAGTATATCTAACAAGAATAATAAGTAGCAATAATCATTATTATTATTAATTGTTCTACAAATAGATTTTAACGTAAACAACAGATTAAATTGTTAAAAAACAAACAAGCAACCATAGAAATCATTCAAAAAGAGAAATGAGTTAAAGGATGAAAAAGCAGGTGATAATGAATTGAATAGTCGGTAAATAGTAGCTGCAAAGTATAAGATGATTATTACAAAAACTACAGTAAAAATACAATACAAAATGATTATAATAATAATAGTAATAATTATCAACTAAAGATTTATTTTCATGATAGATGGTCTCTTGTTCTTTTCTTTTTGTTGTTGTTGTTGATTGTAATTCAATCGACAATATAACAATTTGTAGTGGTGGTGGTGGTAGTAGTAGTAGTGGTGGTAACAGTAGAGAAAGAAGAGGAGAGAAAAGAAAATTTTTCCTAACTAATAAGTTTACTAAACAGATTATTATTATTTCTTTTTTTTTTGAAAAAGGAAAACAGTACAAAAATCATTAAACAAAATTGTTTATTGTTATTACTGAAGAATGATTTTGTAAAACTAGACAGATAGAAATAAATAAGTAGGAAACAAAAAGCCTAGTTATTAGTAAAGAAAAAAGAGAGTGCATTGAAATTGTAGTGTTGAACCCTTTAGAACGTTGTATAATCAAGATACATGATTATTACTGTTGTATATGTATAATGATACTTGTTTTTTTTTAAAAAAAGAGAATCTATTTTCAGAAATAGTAAGGTAGAACGATCTAATTATATACGTTTATATATAGTTATATAATTTTGAGTATAATAATTAAGCTTCAGTTGGATCTTCTTGTTCATTAATTGGACTTTCATCTTGTATTAATCTCCCAGTAGTTGTACTATATTTACGATTTTTATGAAATATACAATTTGATGCACCTTTTGGCTGATCATATTCTTCCATTGATAATGATCTATTTCTAGCTACAGGTATTGTACTACTCATTCGTCGACTAACTAAGCCACCAGCTAAAATGAAAAAAAATATGTTTATGTATGCTCTATTTGTTACAGATGTAGGTAGTTAAGCCAACAAATGCCCTGGTACGACCGAGGGTGGGGAGAGTCCGCTCTCCTTCTCGAAGTGCTCTCACATGGCCACGCGTATACAGGCACTACCATGGAAGTCCTACTCACTGCCTTCTTGCGGCAGTAGTGTTGTTTACGAAGTTGAGAGGACGAAAAGCGAGTGTTCGGCGCTTTAACCAGGTTGGTGAATATGGAGGATCTACCTAGGGAAGTTGAAAACCCTGATTCCAAACCAATGGTGCACATGGGCTTCATGATCCTGAGGAAACATGGCGTATGAACCAATTGTTGGAACTGCGTCTCCTTACGTTGCTCCACTGCCTTGTGGATTAGACCTTTAGGTCGAAGGCTGTGGGTGTGGCCCCCTAAGGAAATCATCTGCTTCGGTTTGGGCACCCGGGTAGTATCACAGCCTACACACAAATTAAGTGACTCGTGTGGCGCATATGTATTTGGTACCTCCTTGTATCAATATTTATACGTTCAAACAAACAAAGTTATGCTAACCTTTTGACTTTTAATCACTACATTTCTGATTCAATATCGAGATTTCAGTAACTGGGGAATCATCGCTGACTACTTGTTTCATAATTTAATATAAGAATTTATTCACATTTTTTAGTCTTTAGTCGAATGAATACATTTTGTTAAAATAACGTGGATAGATATATGCATTCTATTTAGTTCATAAGCAGTTAACCGGAAAGTTGGTCAGCAAGTGGAAAGCACAACACGTCACGCTTATTTAACATTTCATCAACATAAGAGGTCGATGGTCTTCATTACTTTGCAGCATTCTTGTAGTCTTGGTGACTTGCATTGAAATGTTTGATCTACTTAAAGAGTTGTTTACTTTAGTGTGTTATGATCATTAAAAGTAATCAATATTTCTTGGATTTCCTAAGAATATTCGTTATTAAAAAGTATGGAGGCCTATTGTACGTCTTTATTGAACAGAAAACAGGGTGTGTGTTACTTTTTAATATAAAACTGTGTATACAAGTGAATAAGCAATGCTAACTTTATTTGGTAAAATTAGTTGTGATTTTAATTAGAGAAATTCTGCTTATTTGTCTATATATATATATATATATATATATATATATATATATATATATATATATATATATATATATATATATATATATATATATATATATATATATATATATATTGGTTAGTTGTATTGTCTCTAAATGGCAGTTCATATTAAAGTTGTTGTATGGAATCACTCGATTCCATTAGCTTACTCCACATTGTCTATACATCAGTCTTCCATTTATCATTTCAATGATCTAAATTGCTCTCACAATAACAACCCGACCGTTGCTGCTACCTTGAGTTAGTCGTGCTTGCTTATCATCATGATTGAGCCAAGCTACATTAGCTCGAACACATCGTTCCCTTAGGTTTTACCATGTCAGGTAGGTCGGTTGTAGAATGGTAAGACAAAAAGTAGCAACTTAAAGTTTGAGGAAGAAATCGTATTGTTGACTGTAGATGGGTATGACAACAGTAAGGCTTTTCCCTCGAACAATCAACATCTGCAGCGATGCTGCCTTTTCAAAACAGGTGGGGATTAAGAAAGGTAGATCCTAAAATGTCACACCTCACCACACCCTACAGATTTCCGCCTCCAGCAGTAAGACATTTTGAAGTGGGGAGCTAACACATCAAAGACTTTCGATAAAAAGAACCGTGCGCGGAAGGCCTCAAACAGTTTCCCATTAGACGCTGTGGTCGTTTCCCTAGGTTGCTAAGACCACCACTAATTTAACCTTTTTTTATGTTTCTCAAGAGGAAACATCCTTCCGCAGTGTGAGCAACTGTGAAGTGACATTCGTACTCATAACTATATCGGCAACCGAGAAGATTCTGTTGATGAACAAATCCTTCCTTAACCTCTTAATAAGTCTTTCATCCGCACGGATAACCCTTCTAATTTATTTTTATCACCATGAGGCATCAATACTAATGATTTGAGTTCATAAAACGTTATTCCCGGTCTGCTGAAACCACGGTCTAAACCACATGTTGAGGATGTTAGTGTTCAGACCTTGTATCAGGTAGGAAAACAGGCTTCTCCAGTTAGGACTCTAGAATCTAGCGCCATTGATGTGTGCTGCGTTCCCAAAACGCGCATACTGGATCCAAGAACGGTCATCCATTTCACCCCACCTTGTCAATATAAAGAACAATCACGACTTACCCTTCGAGTATCTGGGAGCCCCGCTGCCACTTCCCTTGGCCTCGCTGGTGTAGACATAGCATTATTTTCTAAATCAGAACAGACGCTGTTTGAGTATGTTTCAATAGATAGTCATTTTGACTAAACGGAACAGAATGAATTCGAAAAGATCGGGACACACGCCCTTGCCTTCTCATTGTCTCTGCCTACCCTCTCACCGATGAATTTTATAGGAAGCCATCCAACTTGCTTCAAAAAACCAAACGCTCTGATGTAGCAATAGTGGCGGGTGATTTTAATGCTCAAGTAGGTAAATTAAACCAATCCGAAAAGCACTTAAGTGGATTTTATGGTATTGCGATTCAGCGAGCAGATACTGGAGATCGTCTATTGCAAATATGCCCAGATAACTGTTTATTTCTGGCCAACACTAACTTGAAACGAAAGGAGAAATATCGTCTGACATAGCAGCCTTTACAATAGACTCACCTATGAACTCAAATAGATCACATTGCCATTATCCATCGCTGGAGGCGGTCGATCGAAGACTCGCTCGTCCTAGAGCACATGTTTAGACTTGGACCAGGCTCTAGTTCGGGCACAGATTTGTCTGAGTCTTACTGGACATTGAAACCCCTTAGAGTTTAACTTAATGATGAAAAAATTAAGAATATATTTCAGGAACAACTAGAAAAGGAGCTATTCAACCTTAAAAGTGATATCAACCCCGAGGTTGCTTGGTACGATATCTAAATGACTGTGGAAATAGTAGTGATATATTTAATGCAAAAGGTTGGGAGAAATCAGTGGATTTCAGCAGCGTCTACAGCATTGACAGGTGCTCGTAGATTCATCTCATCTAGCGCTGAACAAAATGAGAAGGCGAGACAGCTTAAACGTAGGGTGACAGAAAGCCTACATTACGATTGTGAACAGTGGTGGGTAGCGAAAGTAGAAGAAATGGAAAAGGCAGCAGTGATAGGTGACAGCAGACAACTGATCAAACTTATCCAGGAATCGAGTTCAGTCAGATTAGCTGTAACCTTAGCTAAAATCTGGTAACTGGACGTAATCCCATCTGTCTGGTCTCGATCGCCGATTGTCCCAGTTCACAAGAAAGGACAATAATCCTCTTGTGACAATCAAAAATGAATCAGTTTAACCAATGTATTGTCCGAAATATTAGCCTCAACAATACTTAGACATCTAACTAGAGCTCATGCGTAGAAGAAGCATTCAGCTTTTGGCAGATTCTGGAACATAAACAAACTTTTCGACGTTCGTTTGTAGTAGTATTCTTTGACCTTCAATCGGTGCTCGATTTCGTTTATCGCGAGGTTCTGTGTCAATGTTTGTTGCTGAAAGGGGTACCAAAGAAGTAAATAATTCTTGTATGCACTGTTTACTCGAACACCAGTGGTCGAGTAAGAGCTTATGGCAAGCTGTAATCGGAATTGGTTACTTCAAGTGGTGTTCTTCAGAGGTGTCCTCTTTCCCCATTTTTAATTAACTTTGCCATAGACGTGCTTTTAGAGATAACACTCTCATTGTCTGACTTTTCAGGAGTTTACTTTCTACCAGACTATTCGCTTGTTGACTTTGAATACGCAGATGATATATTTCTTTTAGGTGAAGACGCCGAAAAATTACAGAGTATTCTAATAGCCTAAAACAGCAATCCAAGTATGTTTGAGATGCGGTTTGCTCCATCCAAATGTAAAATGTTACTTCAGGATTGGCTTGCATCATCGCCTAGATTCATGATAGGAAGTAAAGTGGCTGAAGGCATCAATCACTTCACTTATCTTGAGAGTCTCATCAGTTTTAACAGTCTAGAGTCTGACGAAATTTCGGCACAGATTCAGAAGGCTTGAGTGGCTTTCGCCCACTTGCGTCACTTGTGGCGTAGGCCAGGTATCCGTCTTCTAAACAAAGGCAAAGTTTGTTGCACAGCAGTTCACTCTGTTCTACTTTATGGATGTGCAACATGGCCATTAAGAGTAGAGGATATTCGTAGGTTACTGTTATTCGATCATAGATGTCTTTAAAGCGTTTCTTGTATATTTTCGGACCACGGAGTCGACAGTGCCTAGGAATAGAGTACTAGGTAATGATGGCAAATCAATTGATGAGGTGGAAAATCTTGATCAATTGAGGTAGTTGGGGCATATGTTACGTATGCCCAACAGATGTTTTCTGGTGTAGCAGTAGGCTGGAGGGTAGCTAGGGGCGTCCAAGTCAGAACATGGCACCAGCCCATGAAGTCACTGACAGTTGGACTTGGCCATGTTATTAGGTGTAAATTACCTGGTTGTGGTCCGCATGATCATCGTAACCAATGATTAGAGACTTTGAATGTTATGACTCAAACTCGTTTGCAATGGCACAGGTGCGTCTATTCTTTGTCTTTCCTCAAATTCTGAGATCCTAAATTCCTCAAACCTTTTCTTGTTTTTATTTTACTAATTTATATTTTCTTTTCGAGTCGTATCTTTGATCCCTAATCTTTCCTATTATCAAAAATACTGTTACTATCTCTACTATTCTAGGCTACGGCCTGACAACTTATCTGTCTATGCTAATGGGGTATGACAACATGGACCGATGTACGTACATACAGGTTCTATGTTATGACTGACTGACTCACAGTAACAAATCTTAAAACCTTCTTTTATAATAGTTGTAATGATACAGAATAATGATCCAACACCCATCTGTAGATTCTAGTTTGAATAAATGTCTTACAGGTGATGTAATCATATTTACAATTAATGTTCTCATTTTGTACAAAACAAAATGATAATACATGATAATCATTTTAATTCATACAACTGACATATTTAATTTTGGATTAATGATCAACTGGTGGCTTAGTCGATAAAGCGCTGAACTTTTAGTCAGTAGGTAATAGGTTTAAAGCTTGTTCTGAATGTTTCAGTTTTTGGAGTTTGGTACTGTTACCATTCTAAGATATTAGGTATTCAGAATTAGATGACAGAAAACTCTATAGTCTCGACATAATACACGCGATGTGTAGTCATTCAGACTAATGGTCGCATCTCAAATTGATTTATGTAGTTCAGTGAAGACTTTAAGGAATAGACAAAATGAGATTTGATCACAATTCAGTGATCAAACATTATTAATGTGCCACAGAAGTAATATGTAATAAAGAACTGAGTACATAGCAAAGTACAAAATAATATTTAGAATTCCTAGAAATACAGCTTACATAATAAGTTAGACATTAACACCACTGGATGTCGGCTCAGAGGTTTAATGGTTAAGTGCTCGCGCGCGAAACCAATAGGTTCTGGGTTAGAATCCGCGGAGTGCGGGGTCGTGGGTGCGCACTGCTAAGGAGTCCCATACTAGGGCAAAACGGCCATCTGGTGCTTCCAGGTTTTCCATGGTGGTCTAGCTTTAATTGACTCATGATTTCAACTTGTGAAATTACATAATAAGTGTTTAAATTTACTTAAGGTAATGAATGAATCATTACTATAATATATATACTTACCTAAACCTAATCCTTGGATAAAAAATTGTAGACATTCGGCAACTTTTTCAGGCTGAATGGAAATTAAAAAATTAACTGGTTTAATCTTTAATTAAAACGAATGATTATAGATATATATATATATATATATATATCCATATTGTTTTGAGAATAAATTACACGAATATTCATAACAGAATACAAAGCCAGTAATTACATGAATCTTGATTTTAAAAAATGCATAATCTAGTTTGATGATAGCCGTACAATGCTTGGATTAGCAAGATTGAATAACTGATATGACGTTTGAATAGAAATATTTTCTGTTTTGCGGTTTACTAATATAATGGAATTATATGGCTGGTGATCTAAATTATGCGATCACTAGACTGGATACTCGAATAGTAAAACATGCACAGACTCAACCATGTTACACCAAATACGCTATTCAAGAACAAAAATCAGAGAACTAGAGTATAGACTAGACAATACTTCATTCAACATGGTCTACAGTTTACACTCAGTATTTCCTGAGTAAAAATCAATAATAAAAAGTAAATCACATGTTGAATAGTTAGTACGTTGTATCTATCAGTTCACGCTTACTGGTCAATCACATTTAAGTTCACTAGTCACATATCAATGATAATTTATTGTCTAATATTTCAAAAAATCTAATCTGGAGATTTTAAACTAAGGAAAATTGAACAACATTTTAAATGATGTATAGATATGGGTTCTACATCATTTAGTCAGTAGATCAAATGCAACATAAAACCTGGTACATATGTACATCGGTTGAAGTAGCTATACTACATGATCATAGGAAATTGAAACATATATCCCAAAGTGGTAGAATTACTGACAGTATGAGTAACAGTAAAAATGTTAGCTGTAGACAACATAATTCAGACCTTCAGATCCGATAGATGACAAAAAGTGAACGCCCTGCACCATAGAGACCGATTCTAAGCTACATTAACTGTTTTTAACCAGTGACCAAAATTATCATATCGACGCCAATTACATAGTTTATACTTACCAACACAGATTAGAACATCAGCTAAGGCCTTTGTGGACTTGTGCTACGTTTATCGTTTAGCGTATTTACGCTTTCATACCATCTAATCTTAACTTAGACATCATAGCTCATTGAGACAGGGATTGGTTGAACATATTTGGCACATGTATCGACTTCCTCAATGTGTGGAGGTTCACAACCTCATCAACTGATTTACCACCCTTACCAAGTACTATGCATTCAACCCTGCTACTTACTCCGTGATAGGAATATACGTGATCAATGCTTCGAATGCATGTAATGTTCAAAACTTGCAGCATGAGGATGTCTTCGACTTTCAAAGACCATATTTGAAAAACCATAAGGTAATACAAAGAAAACACTTGGGTCATATACAAGCTATTTACAGGCCGATGAATAAGTAGCTCAGGTCACAAGTGACTTAAGCTCAAGTTAAAATTCCGTTAGATATCAAATCAACAAGTCTGATGAAACTTTGGAGTTAAGTGAAATGTTTGACACACTTCATTCATTCCTTACAATTAACTTATTTATGTACGAAAATGAGAGGACGAAAAGCGAATGTCCGGCGCTTTAACCGGATTCAAAACCAATGGTGCACATGGGCTCCAGTATCCTGCGGGAACAAATGGCGTATGAACCAATTGTTGGTCATCGGCTTCCATGGGACTGCATCTCCTTACGATGCTCCACTGCCTTGTGGGTCAGACCTTCAGGTCGAAGGCTCGGGGTGTGGCCCCCTAAGAAAACCACCTGCTTCGGTTTGGGCACCCGGGCAATCTCACAGCCCTCACACATATCGAATGAGATTTGTGCGGCGCATATGTATTTGGTGCCTCTTTGTACCATTATGTATGTGTTGAAGTAAATAAATAAAAAATAATTTATGTACTTGTATATTATTGTAGAAAGTTAAAATGAACAATATCTATATGATTATGTGTATAAATAAAAATATATACACATATCATAACCTTATTAGAATTAATGACAATTAATCTTAATGACTTATGATATTTCATGTTTATCATTCATGTTTATAATTATATTATAAAATTTCATAGAATTAGGTCAATACTTCAAAGGGATTTAAATAATTACATAACTTTCTACTTTGTTATCAAAAGGAGAAATTAAAAAAATATGTATATAGAATAAAACTTATATACATAATTTGATAAGATTTTGACATGTATACTACTCGCATCAAGTAATTAGCGGATATATCAATTTGATAAATTATAATTATTTGATTTTCAAAAGGATTCAATGAATAAATGATAAATAGAATATCGACTATATATATAGTGTGGGTTTTGTACTGAAATAACACTATATATATCTATCATCATGGAATTAATTTGAAATTATTTTGAGTTTCCATACGAGTAACTTATCATTCATTTATTCGGTTGCCCCCAAATACCCTGGTATGGCCGAGAGTGAGGTGGGCCCGCTTTCCCTCTTGAAATGCTCTCACACGGTCACGCGTATACAGCCTCTGTCAAGGAAGTCCTACTAACTACCTTCTCGCACCATCGGTGTTGTTTACGAAATTGAGAGGACGAAAAGCGAATGTCCGGCACTTTAACCGGATTTCAAACCAATGGTGCACATTGGCTCCAGTACCCTGCGGAAACAAATGGCGTATGAACCAATCATTGGTCACTGGCTTACATGGGACTGCATCTCCTCACGACGCTCCACTGCCTTGTGAATCAATCCTTCAGGTCGAAGGCTCGGAGTGTGGCCCTTTAAGAAAACCACCTACTTCGGTCTGGGCACTCGGGGAGTATCACAGCCCACACACAAATATGGTGTGGCGCATATATATTTGGTGCCCTCTTGTGCCAATATTTGAGTGTCGAAATAATAATAATAATAAAGTTTGAGGTTGAATCATATGCATCGTTGAAATTCAATTACTTTCAACTTAAAACCATGATTATGTAATATTATGAATGATTATTTATTGTAATTCAAATGACTGTATGCAATTAGCAGGAAACCCTAATACTTAGTGTTACACAGAATATCTGTAATAATGATATGCTTAATACTAGAAGAAGGTTTCGGATCTATGTCACTCAGTATCACAATTAGTGATGTTATTACTAAGCTGTTCAGTTCCCTAGTAATGATTGAAAGCTCTCGAGAATTCATCTACTAAGCATTCAGAAGATGCAAAAAGATTTAAAACACTTTATTCAATCAACATTCAGTGGAAAATTCGCAAACACTTCTAAAAATGCAATGAATTATGTGAAACACTCTGATTGGATAACTCTCTATAGTGTTATTGTCTCAAGAAACTCCCCGAATATCAGGGTCACTTGTATATCTATAGGTTCTCCTGCTTTCTGTACATAGACTACTTTTGAAAGCAAAGTTTCTGTCCACATTTTCCATCTTATATATTCCGTTAGAGATGTAAGCTAGGAGAATTCTGGGGAATCGATGAGTGTCTAGGGAGTTATTATCAAGAGTTTGAGTACCCGATATACCAGTGACCTGCAGTAGCATTGATTGTTTTATTATTAGCTGCTACTATTACTACTACGACTACTCAGTGATTCTTCTCTAAAAGATTTAGATATTTATTTTGTGGTAACATGCCAATGATAACTCTCATAGATACTGTAATTCATTTCTTATAGAGTTGAATGTAGTGAACAAAGAAAAAATATAGAACTATAGTAAAATATACACAGATAATTCTTTTATTTATTTCATGTTGAAGACTATTTTTAACCTAGTGAATTTCTTGCAAATTATTCACAAAAAAAGACAATTCAAAAAACTATTATCGAATTCACTGTTTATTCAATGTAAGAATAGACTTGTAATTTATAATGAAAAAAACCTAATTTGTTTGTATACTAATGCTGTAATGGAGTTTTGACACGTTTACTACTACTACTACGCAATTAATCCATATGATTAATATTCTTTCAGCATATATATACACATCGTCCTATGAGAATGGATTGTGTTGATCTACTCTTAGTTCAATTAGTTAATACCTATTTTCATGTAGAAATATAAATTTAGAATGATCGAATAAGTCGATGAGAAAGCAAAACATGACTAGTATGTATGAGTTTTTTTTTTCAAAAGGAAATTCTTCCATCTTCTCTCCCTATGTGTGTACATTTGTAAATGTATTTAGGCAAATGTCTTGTTGTTGTTAATTATACGGTATTTTTTTTTTGTAATTTCGAAATATTGAAAAATGTAGTTTTTAGAATGAAGTAATTCTTGTTACTTAATAACATTAATTTAATGAAATTTCATAATGATATATGAGTAAATTGCGAATAAATAGACCATTGAAATTACTACAATCTCCACAAAACCCATCTGATATTAATCAACATACGCTCACTAGTGACTAGCTTCACGAGGTATATCCTGGAGTTCTAGTGAGAAGTAGTGACCAGTGGAGTTCAACCAGGTCTGTTGTGAGATAGTAACTCACTGAAGACAATGGTGAATGTGTCATTCAATTTCGTGGATTAGTTGAAGCTAGGGATTAACACTGTTGGGTGCCGGCTTAGTGGTCTAATGGTTAAGTGCTCGCGCGCGAAACCACTAGGTCCTGGGTTCGAATCTCGCAGGGGGCGAGGTCGTGGATGCGCACTGCTGAGGGGTCCACAATAGGACGGAACGGCCGTCCGGTGCTCACAGATTTCCCATGGTGGTCTAGCTTCAATTGACTCGTGATCTTAACCATTGAAATAGAACATTTGTTTAGTTATGATAATAATACTAATGATAATACATAGCTTTTGCGAATACATCAGATGTGTTTTTCTTCAATTGAACATTCACTGATTTATACAATACGCATGTCGTATAGTTTGTATCGTGGAATTATCTTAGTTAAACAGTTACTGAACATCAGGAAGCACTAGACAATTGTTTTGTCCTAATACAGGACTCAATAGTGTGCATCCACGATTCCCTAGGAATGGAATCAAGTACGCAATACATCGTAACGATTTAAGTTATAAATGTAAATCACTGAATTACAACCCAAAGGTCGAAATATTAAGCTCTTGAAGCGAGAATCAGAGGTTCCTTGTTCTAGCTTCAATAAGCTCACGAATGTCCACTGGTGGTAAGCCTCATACTGGGACGGAATATTTGTCTAATGCTCCCTTACTTTCAGTGGTTACTTATTAAGATCAATCCTTGATATGAACTATGAAATTCAATAATCTTTATTTCAGATCATCTAAATATATGGCCATCAGTTCACCAGTTGTTGCGTGACACGGGTTTCGTCTGTTTCTAAGCCATGGAATTAAAAAAAATTAGTGGTGGTTGTTTACCTTAATTCTCAAAACTGATGACAAGATAAGAAGTTATCTTCAAAATAAATACATGTATTTATAACATATTCCAGTCTTATTATAAATACAACATAATTCTTACCTGTTCACTTAATACATTTGCCACATTATCTAGTTGAATCAATTCAACTTTGCCTTGTAGATTTGGATCATTGCGTACAGCGGATAGAACAGCATTATATAGACGAAAGACTGTATGATTATGTGATGCTAATGCACCGGTTAGAAATAAAACGGGACATCTAGAAATATAAAAAAATGCCAGTTATGATGCAGTGTCGATTTGTTTAAAACAACCATAATCTAGTCTATTTATACAGTCTGGAAATAACAGTATGAATTATTGGATGTCAATTCACATTGGTGTGAAAGTGATGGACTCTCCAGGAGATTTGAAGTTACTGGGTTTCATCCTTCTTGATGAGCCTTGCCAAAGCGTTTTACACTACAACATAACAGCTATTCAGTGCTCTTTTTGTACATGATTGCTTAGCTAGAATTAATCTCTTGGGCGGACTATCTTTAAATTTCACAATATCAATAATCTTCGTTTACATACTTACTTACTTACTTACTTACGCCTGTTACCCCTCGCCGAGGAGCATAAACTGCACACCAGCACTCTCCATCCAACCTCGTACTAAACAATCCTTTCTAGTTATTTCCAGTTGCTATTCATTCTTTTCATGTCTGCTTCCAATTTTCGACGTAATGTGTTCTTCGGCCTTCCACTTTTCCGTTTACCTTCAGGATTCCAAGTTAGGGATTGCCTCGTGGTGCAGTTTGGTGATTTCCGTGATGTATGTCCTCTCCACTTCCAATGGCTTTTCCTAATTTCCTCTCCAGCTGGAAGCTGGTTTGTCCTCTCCCACAAAGGGCTGTTGCTGATGGTAGCCAGTCTACGGTACTGAGTATCTTGCGTAGACAACTGTGCACAAGTACTTGTATCTTTTTGATGATGGTTGTAGTAATTGTCCAATTTTCAGCTCCATACAGTAGAACTATCTTGACGCCTGTAGCTCTTCTAGGGTTACTGCCTATCTCAAGCCAGTGTAAAGGAGGAGGGTCAGGCATTGGGTATACAACCCCATCCCGTTAAAAAAACCTTGCTAAAAAACGTTAACCAGATTATACAAATTTAAATATTTAAACTTTGCCGTGGGAGTCGAAGGAAGAATTATGTTCCCCCAGGATGATAGCCGAGAATCTTCGGAAATCACGAGGCTGATGCTCCTTCTAATAACCAGAGCAACAATTTTTATACATACATGGAACGTCCGGACAATGCGGGAGACCGGAAGGATCAGTCAAGTAGCGACGGAAACGAGGACATACAATTTGGCAGTACTCGGAATCTTCGTTTACCATGAATAATTATTCCTTATACTCTAGATTATAAACGTCTTATGTCGGGAAAAAACAACGATTATTTATAGAAAATCACTTAGTTTCAATTCTTTAAAGATCGATAATAATAAAAGAATGTTTCATGGAAAAACAAACGTTTTTTGTTGGAATACTGAATAAACAGTAGGCACCCACTATGTAGATTCAAACCAAGTGAATGACTCAGTGAAGTGCTATTTTTTCGGAGATTTGATTCTCAAAGTTGCACAACACTACATGTTTATGTACAATAATAATGTATAAAATTCCTTTATTATTATTATCAACTTGTCAAACAGAATAACTTGCGAGTTAAAAATAAGCTAACGTTCAAAATTCCAATATTCCTATTCAGAGATTAAAACTATAATCATTAGGGATTTAAAACAATTGTTCCAAAAATACCATAAAAATACATGAAAGTGCTAAAGCGACCTTAGTTTATCAAGTTTTCCTGTAATTAAATAACAGTTATTTCTTTAAAAGTTAACTTCAACGGTATTTTCCTAATTCAGCTTTTCGCAACAACATTTGCCTTTATCTGATTGGTTGCCATGGCTTTTAGTTTGCTAATTTTGTTATGGGCTCCAAGGTTATTTCATGATACTATGTAAACAGAGTTGCTTCTTTCTAATTTTTGATTTCTTTTTGGAACATAAAGCTACGCTAAAGTCCTTTGTTCGCTATCTCTGTTAGCATGTGGAATAATAATCTTGGAGTGTTGTTATGTCAAGCGTAAGGAACATTCGAGATCCCATTCATTTCACCTGTAATAGAACAATTCTCAAACATTTGCAAATAAAATTTACTGTAGTTCAACCTGAAAAGGTAGGGTTTTTGTGAAAATTGTAAGTTATCAATGTAGTATTTGAATTGTCCTCATTGTTAATGATTAGAATTGAACTCTAACCAATCGTTGCTAGTGTATGCACATCCTGAATAGATTGTTTCAACATGATCATTTGTCAAAAGTTGAACAGAATGGATAGATTGTAGCTAACAGTCGGGCGCACTATACACATTTAGCCCAATTTAGGACTGTTCAGCGAAAATTACATGAATGGAGTCTTAATATGAATAACAATACTGCGGTAACGGTAAATCTATGATGAATTCAAAACATAACGAAATACGCCTACCATATTCCTTTTCTAGTCATAATCCATCAATTCTATACAATCATGGCGGTCCACACAAGTTTATTTCGCATAGATAATTCTGGATTCACAATGTACATGGTAAGCTTTCGTTCATCTTGTGAACGACACTAAATGATGAGTTGTGTTCTAGCTAAGTAACCCATGTTCACAAAGTCCCATCCTATTTCGTTCATTAGTTAGAACTATTTTTCTACTAGTTCCGAAGGTTGTTCATTTCTGGGTAAATTTCTGATGCTTAAACTAAAACCTTGTAGATTTATACTCCTCAGGGGATATAATTACACATGAAAGTATATGTTAATCTGACTATATGTATCTGTCGAAGCTTCCACAAATAATACTGTATTCTCCAATAAAACCAATAGAATATGTGCTTTAGAAGTCAATTTACTGTCATTAAGTTAATTTATCCTAGTAATTCTCTGTTAGCAATAGTGGTATAAACAAAAACACTCCGGACACTATATAATACCATCGGGTTAATTTAAATGGAGACTTGTGATATTTTTGAATTATGATTTATATTAGAATCCAGGATGCAATTTTACTATTTTAGGGTTCGCCACTTGAATGAACCTGGATTCAAGTATTTGTGTTCACACTAACACTCGAATTCAATATTTATCACTTCAAATATCAAACCGTTATTTACAAAGCTACGGAGTCGAGGTAGCTGCTGACCTATTCAAATGGTAGTCAGATATTTGTAGGGGTTTTGGATCATTCATGTTGTTGTAATATTTGAGACTAGATTTTATTAGTCTGTACTGTGATTTCCTACAACATATTCTTTATATACGAAATTAGATTTATAACAACAAAGTTATTTCATTTTTATCCTATCGTGAATTAGTGAAAATTTAAATGAAAGAAACTAAACCAGTTTATCAGTTTTACATATATATGGTTACTTACTATATATTTCATAAGTTAATTCATCTATTCATACTAGTGTATACGAGTAACTGATCGGTGGATAATAGTGTTTAATTTGAGTAAAAAAATTTATATATCAGAATGAGTTTTGTGGAGATTTTGGGAAAATTCACAGGTTGAAATCATAGGTCAATTGAAGCTAGATCACCATGGGAATTCTGTAAGCACCGGACGGCCGTTCCGTCCTATTGTGCGACTCCTCAGCAGTGCGCATCCACGACCTCGCCCCCTGCAAGATCCGAACCCAGGACCTAGTGGTTTCGCGCGCGAGCACTTAACCATTAGACCACTGAGCCGGCATCCAATGGTGTTGATGCCTAATCTCAACCAATCCACGAAGTTGTGCCACCGAACACCATTGTCTTCAGTGAGTTACTATCTCACAACAGACCTAGTTGAACTCCACTGGTGACGGGTTCTCGCTAGAACTCCAGGAGGTTCTCCTGGATGCGCACTACCGAGGAGTCCCATACTAGGACGAAACGGCCGTGCAGTGCTTCCAGGTTTTCCATGGTGGTCTAGCTTCAATTGACTTATGATTTCAACCTGTGAAATTTATATATGCTGTCACAAGTGTATTACCATTGTTTTAATTAATAGATTACACAATAAGATCATTTAATTTACTAATCTATTTAAAATTGAAACCAAATGAAATGTTGAACATCATCATTTAATTGTTAATAGATGTTTTAATCATGTGAAATGTCATTCTAAATTAATAAGCAAACATAGAAATTTGACTAATATTATACATATTTTATTTGATGAATTCAATATGACATATACTTAGTCAATAAACAAAATAACTAACAATTCATTATTTAACTTACCTTATTTGATCGACATGTTCTAGGATTTTTGTACGTCTAAAAATCATGTGTAAATTAAATAATTTAATTCATTTGATATTTTGTAAACCACAAAATAATATAATGAAGGAAAACACATTTTAAAAATGAATATAGTTTATTAAGATAGTTATACTGATATAATTTGTTGTATCAACCAACCTCCTAACAACCTCTCGATCTCCAGCTACTTCAAAATGTCAATGTTTCAAAGAAAACTGATAAGTAAAATAACCTACCGAATTTCGAATTGCATTTGAGTTTGATTAGTCGTATACCGACTAAACTTCACTAGCTATTAGGTACAGAAATTATCAATCAATGCATAAAGTTGTTTTTTTTGAACGACATTACCGAAAGTTACCCTGCCTAGCTATCTAAAGAGCTATAAAATGTAAGTCAAACACACAATCCGGGAATATTTAATTAATTCCAGTCACTCCGGAGACTCAAATTAAATCTTAACATTTTCTTCAAACTACTTAATAAACTATCCTTTACATCCAATCACGTGATTCAATATGCAGAAATTTCTCATTATGACATCCGTAATTCCTTGGCACTAGTGAGACAAACTTATTCTAAATCATCTCTTTATGTGAATTACTTTACCTGTAAATTTTCTAGACTCTGGAATAACCTACCACAATCTATCCGTACGATAAAATCACTTTATGTTAACACCGTCCCTAGAAAGTTTAACTAATTTGTATAACATCAACAGTATATCACTGTGTCACATGACACACGCATTTTGGTAGACCTGATTGACATATTTTGGTAATTACTCCTTTGCTGTTCCGTGCTCTGTTTTCGTTCTAATTTCTCTAGTTGTAGATAATTATCATTAATTCGATCTGGCAGATGAAATGACCTTAATTACACTATTCATAAATCAACAGGCTGTCCATTTAAGAAATATTAAAAGCTCGCGGATGATGCATTGGATCGCTGTAATACATGTACTACCTAAACAATTACTGAACTAGTATACTTAAAACTTTCTTCTATCACATGTTTGTTCTGTACATCTAATGTTACTATTTATATCAAATTGATCATTGCTTGTAAACTGGCGTGAATTCTGTGATTATTATTTTCAGAATATATAAATTACCAGAATCCTAACTCAAAATCATCCGTTTAGTTGAAGGGGTCAGATCGAAAGGAGTAAAAAATTATGTACAGCAGGGTCTCTAGTTGTTTATTAATTCAGTTCCAACTCTTCCGTACAAAAACAGTTTGTTCAATCTTCCACCTTAGTCTTAACTGTCCTTTATATCTTTTATAAACTTTGGTTGTTTTACTTTATAGTAATTATTTTTTCACAATCACTGGTTAGATATCATTTCAACATTCACTTAATCTCACAGTTTAAATTACGAACTGATCTGAGGTAGACAATTATCATTTATTCACAAACTATCATCATCTTAGCATCTTTCATTAACCATTCAGTTAATACATAATTTCCTTTGAATATTTGATTTTGATAAGTAATTTGTAGCAAGATATCATTTTAGTATTTTTAGAAATTACACAACACACTTTTATTTTATTATAGACTACTACTACTTTTAGTAAATAAATTGACTATTGTAAAATGTAACAAAATCAAATTGTCGAAAAAGAGATTTTCCTTGTTTTTTTTTCTTCCATTGTTTGAGTACCTATCACTTGAACACAGAATCAAAGAGAGTATTACAAAATATACACTAGGACAATCCATCTATTCACTACTGTCTGCTTTTCATAGGTATGTCAAAGTAAAATCAGTTTGTGACGAATACTAGTCAGAAATTAAAACAGTCTTCATGAAACTTCATAAAATAAAATCTAAATGTAATTTTTTTGGTTTTTCGATATTACGAATCCGTTTTCTTAATTTTTATTACTAATATTGAATTAAACAAGAATTAAATATAATTACATTAGTTCACATCTTAAATAATTAGTAACTTTAATTATATTCTACTGAACAAGAAAAGTAGTGAGAAATAATGCAACATAAAAATATTTATTTAATTAGATATTTCACAGATTGAAATCATGAGTCAATTGAACATAGGCCACTATGGAAAACCTAGAAGCACTGGACGGCATCCAACGGTGTTAAAATCTAACTTCAACTTATCCACGAAGTTACGCCACCGTATGCCGGCTCAGTGGTCTAATGGTTAAGTGCTCGCGCGCGAAACCAGTAGATCGTGGGTTCGAATCTCGCGGGGTAGGGAATCGTGGATACGCACTGCTGAGGAGTCCCGTACTAGGGCGAAATGGTCATCCAGTGCTTCCAGGTTTTCCATGGTGATCTAGCTTAAACTGACTCATGATTTCAATCTGTGAAATTCCTAAAATCTCCACAAACCCCTACTGATAATATACATATACATAAATATTCTAGTCGACAAAAGTTCTGTGTTTAAACAAACTAAATATGAATAACAGAATATTCAAAATAGCATGTATCTGAAATATATAATCAGAATATAAACAATTAAAGTTGCCAGTATATCATATAGGTCATCAAAGTGTTGAATGGAATAAGCCAAATATATATTCTTTCTTTGAGGCAGTAAATTATATGAATATAATTGTTAAGAAGGACCGATAGAAGTGTTGTGAAACAGATGCCATTGTATAGCTTTTTTGGATTGATATCTGCGAACGTATTAAAGATCCAATGCAAAACTTTAGGGTTATCCAGCAAGCAACATATATATTCAGACTACGGAGTGAAAATCCATTAGACTACATTTCCGAACCCATTCTTTAACATTGATGACCAGTTAGTATTCATGTCGTAGTCTTACAAGAAGCCATCTTCAGTTCGACCAGTTCACTGATAACTTCTCTGACACTAATTCTATTGAGCTAGATTTATAATCCTACGGAGAGTATCAATTGTCATAAAATCATTGCTGACGCGTCGGTTAAGGATGCAACCCATTTTCAAGGTTCCCTCCCAACTATGTCCTACTAATCAAGGTAGACTTTGGTTAATTTGTGATATAGCTTGATTTATTATCTTATTTTATGAGTGATTCTATCAACTAGAGCTTCTTCTTAGAATGCTGATAGTTTCATCTTGAAGTTAATCACTTATGAGTTTTAATGGCTTCATGAATAATTTTTATAATTTGAAAATGATTTATTTTATGAGATATATATCATTCATCATTTAAAACGTTCTCAGTGACTATAGATTTAGCCAAGAAACAACTCGTTTCATTGGACTCATTATTTATTCATCTCGTGGTTAACTCCCGAAATTCTAGTGGAAAGCTATGACTTGTGAAATTTGATAATGTTAACCTTACAAAATATACCATTGGTAACACTGGATGATGATCTCACTACATTATATATTTTAAAAAATACTTGAAAATGTTTATTCCTGAATTTTTACTCAATTGTTAACACTCTGACCACAAAACTAAAACTTCTTCAATTTCACTGGTGATAGTTAGTTGGTTAGCACCGTTCAAAAGTCTATCGTTTATCTTTGGTTTTCAACACTAAACCACCTGAAATTAGTTTGTGTTGAATTAAAGTATTTTTCACGACCAATGACAATATATTCAGATGCAAGTTTTATAGTGAAATGTATCAATAATCAATACTAACTAAATAGTTGTCATTCGACCAACAGTATGTTTATCTATTTTGTTAAAAATAGATGTCAATATGATGAAATAATCAAAGGTAAAAGGAAAGGTAAAAACACCGAAAAAGAAAATTTTACTAACACATCATTAACAAAACTCTTATATAAGAAATGAATGGACTGTTTTTTCTGTGGACGCGCACGCCTACTTATTTAAGTATTTGTACGCATACATAAGATTAGCGTATACTCGTGTTGATGTACATTTACATAGAAGAAGATTTCTATCAACATAAATAAAAACCACGGTAACTAATAAAAAAAACACTGAATATTTATTGTTCTGTTTTCTCAACAACAACAAAAAAATACCACCCTGATATTTGAGCTTATTCGGAATTATTACAGTTGAATATTTCACATTCAAATATAACTCTAAGACAAAAAAAGGACGTTTTCACCTTTCTCTAACAATCTATAACTTGAATGGTAATAAACATGTATATATATGTACTTATACACAACAAGTATGTTTATATTGAGAAATTGAAGTGATCAAAGTTACACAGATTGTTTTATTAATCGGTCAAATTTAGGACAGTGAAACAAGTAAATTTTTTTTTCTTTTTTTTCATTTTATTGTTAAAAATTGAATTGTAAACAATATAGATGATAAAAATTCATTTACACAAAAAAAAAATCATGATCAGTCAATAGGGTTGTATATTGAATAAATATAAATTATATATTATGACAATATAGATTCGATTGAATGAGGTTATTTGTAACTTATCTAATGTTTAATGAGTCTGTTGTATATTGGTCTTTTTCAAGTTTATTTAATGAATGAATGTTACATATTGAAGTGGATATTTCAGTAAACATTTCATTTCAAGTATCTATTTTTTTCTTCTTCTGAATATGTCAATATAACTATGTGTAATATACTAAGTGAAAAACATAAGTACAATGAACTATTAGATTCTAAAATCAGATCATGAATGATGAATAACATTTCAGTAGGAATTATTTAGCCATTTAAAAAAAAGTAGAAAATTGGTCAAACAGCCTAGATGCTATACAACTCTTAAATATTAGAAAACGTTACAGATAATGTTAACCATTTAATCAAATCATCAACTGTTCATACTAACAGAATAAGTGATTGAAGGCAATGAATTCTGATAAACAATCTATACTATTTACAGAAAATAAAAAAAAGCAGTCAGATGAATTGATAGATAGATAGGTAGATAGATAGATAAAACGGTGGAGAGAACGAAGGAAACAGAGAATAAAATTTGAGAATAATTAAATAAGGGGAGATTTTCAGATGAAGATGATCAGGATAATCTCTGTTACATGAATCGTGGTGGTTAAGTGCTCAGGCGAGAAGCCAGTAGGTCCTGGGTTCGAATCCCGCGGGGTGCGGGATCGTGGATGCGCACTGCTGAGGAGTCCCATACTAGGACGAAACGGCCATCCAGTGCTTCCAGGTTTCCAACGGTGGTCTAACATCAATTGATTCATGATCTCAACCAAAAAAGCTTTACAATCTCCACAACCCCCATACTGATGAATGATTATGTTTTTTTGTTTACATTCTTACGGTAAATAGTGATAATGATGGCATACGTTTTGACCTTATATATATAATATATATATAATAATCCAAATTAACTTGAATGGAATAATTAAATGGACATTACTTGATTTGTTTCAGTATATGTATAAATATACAATGCATGATGACAATAATATACTTATTAACTTAAAGAGTTGACATGATTGATGGAATTTTCTATATCCGGTATACGATGATTTGTAATAATCTAGTTATGACAAAATTTTTGATTGAACTTAAATTTGGACAATGTCATGTGAAATCATTGTCAATATCTTAATATGATATTATATCATGATAAGTTTTAAACTTAAACTTGTTTTGTTGATAGAAAGTGTAAGAGAATTCTAAAAAAAAGTACTTTCCTAATTTTGAAGATGTCTTTGTTGAATCCTGTGAGTTGAGAAGTAGTTCAGTTGTTATTCTGAGCTACAACATTCATGAGTATTTCATGTTTAAGTCGGAAATTAAACAGTCAAGTCAAAAAACAGCTTGACAATACCAAAAGGATTCATTTCAGCTGAGAATCGTCACTATCATGGTTACAATTAGCTTATACTGTAGACTGGTCTCCGGATTCATCAGTTATATACACACACAAGATATCATAAGGCATTCAACAGCATTTAAGCAACCACGACATATTTACGTCACAAGGTTCTATACAGAACGATTCTCACATACTGTCAATAGTGTTTTTCGTAATCGATATTTATATTAGTCGACATTTCCACTACTGATTAACTGATTCATTAAATAATTTACAATGCGACTGTTTAATTGACCTCTTCCTTAAACTAATTTTCAGTATAAACCTTTAAAGTTACGTCTTAAAGTTTCAATGTATAAGTATATCAAAGAAACTGAATTAACATAAATTTTAATATACAATCATAAGAAAACGTCTATTTAAGGCCAAATATTGATTATTATCGGAATGGATTTAAATTATCCCGTTGCTGGTATTGGTGGCTGGATTTCGGTCAGTCTTCGTTGATATATGTACGTCCTGTGTGAAGTGTTTCGTCATAGCTGTCTTTTTCATAAGTTTTTATAGAAATGATGTATTGTGACTAGGAGTGAAAAAATCATCATAATCATTGTACAAGTGAGCGAATATCTGAACACAGCAGCTTAGTGGATAACATGTTGGTATTTAAAGCGGAAGGTATCAGAGTCCGAGTTCTAAACTGAATATCTCTAGAATATAGGTATATACAGTTGACGAGTCCCAAATAAGATAAAACAGGCGTCCTGGACTCCACTACTGATTACAACCCATCTTTTATATAATTATTATTTAGTCTGTTTATCTTTAGAGTAATATAAAATACTTAATTTTAAAAACATTTAACTGAAATATGAAATAAGCGTTATCATTTCAGGTTACAAAACACTTAATTATAGTTTAAAATATTGGTTATCTGATGGAAAGAATCACGTCTTAAATTTTCCCTTTCTCATTGTTCATTTACTAAAAATGTTAGTAGTAAAAGATCATAAAATTAATTTTGGTTTATAAACAGTAAAATGATAAAACAACTCGTAAAATAACTGCATTTAGATTTAAGAATTTACTTGACAAAACAAAAGTATACCATTAAAATTGAATTAAATGTGGAGAGGGTTGCAAACACTTATTTATTAGTGGAAACATATCTGTGTGTATCTCTGATCAATGAAGATAATCAACTACATCAGATCGACCATAAATCTATTATCCGATGATCGAGCGATAAAACTACTGTCTTTTCTTCACTTGAATCAGAAGATACCTTAAATTGTTAAGTTTGTATCGTATTAGGATTATTTTTATTCATTCCAGGGATTACGATTCAGATGAAAATTTTAAGGGTCTAAAAGTCAAATGAGAAGTGAGTTTGCCAAAGTTTGTACACACAAACAGATTTAACGTTCTGTATTATCTGAGCAATACTATAAAATAATAAGGATAGTTAATATTATAGTGGGACCTTATTCAATATATTGTTTGGGTTTGTAATTAGAAATGACCTGAAAAATGACAGTATATTATATAAGTCATTCAAAATAACTAATTTAAAGTTTGCCGCTGTCATTACACACTAAACGATATCAGTGAAATAATCGTATCCTTCTCCGTTTGTTATTTTTTCGGAAAATAAGATCAAAGATATTTAACGAGGTTCCGAAATATAAAATACTTAGTAAACTCATATATATATAATAAAAATTTTGGATCACACTACAGTTTAAATTTAGTTAAGTTTACTGACAAATCAATGGAATATACTAGTCAGATAATTCCAAACTATTCAACTGAGTAAATTTAGTTGACAAAAGCTGGGAATAAACAAGGAGTCATTGGTACTCTTTTATTTTGCAAAACTGGCTCTCTAAGCTTAGCGACTGTATATAACAAACAAGTTAACCTGATTTTACAAGAGAAAGTTATGGAAAATATTCTTTGCACATCAGTTTGTGAATGATGATCGATTGATGCTCAAGAGTGATTTTATTTTAAATAAGCTACATTCGTATCGTAGTTTAAAAGTGATCAAAATATAGTAGTTTCATTCATTTTCTGACCTAATTTATTCCTTTTGAACTGTAGTTTTAGTTTTTATAAAATTGAATTGTATCTATCACTGAAATCTAGGATCTTTATTTCGTCTTATTTGGGATTTATGAGTTGGATGTACCTGCAGCACAGTATTGATGTTCATTCTGAGACTAGAATTCAGTCACTTTCATTTCAAACGCCAACGTCTTATCGACTTAAATTTCCAGTCAAGATTGTCAATGGCTTTATGCAACGGAGATGAAATACAATCCAGTTGTAAAGATTTGAATCTTCTCACTGTTAGTGTTAAAGATTGCAGTTAATCAGTCTATTTTAGCATTTGTGAATCTTGGTTGAATTGTCACAGTATTCTCATCAATAACAAGCATTTTAAAGCAAAGATGGAAAGTGGCTAAGAATGAAATCCACGTTGTGAGCTTTATCCTATTTGAAACTTGTCAGCTGAGTGCGTCTGCGTCTACGTCTTGATGTTTATAATGAGACTAAAATCCTGTACCGGAATTCCTCTTCTCGACATTATTCAATTTTGCTTGGAAGAAACTGTAGCATAACTTTTCACTGAGGTGAATCTCTGAAGATGCACATACGCCAATAAAAACTGATCAATTACAGTCCCTAATATTAACAAAGATTAAATAAAAACCCTCATAAATGAACTTATCCTGTTCGGATTTCTATGATATTTAATATTATTTAGTTTTTTCGCTTTTCGTTCAATTCATTTACCATTAGGATGATGTTAAAGGTGTAAACCAATTTGACCACCGATTTACAATCATACTAAATTTAATGTTAATTACAATTGAATAAAACTTCATTTAACAGTAATAATGGATAAATTTCTTTTAGTTTTATACTTGAATACAAAAGAACTATAAACTTTAATATTTGATAGATAACAAATCCCAAACTAAATTACCACAGCATACATATAAAATATAGGCATTAGTTTTCAATTACTAGTTAGTATTGTGCTACATAAAAGGTCTGATTAAATGAATTTTACTTAAAGGAATCTACTGCATTTTTTTGTTATATACAATGCATTTTGAAGGTTGAAATAGATTAAGATTAAAAACGTGTAAATTAAACACATCAGATAGCTTTTTTTTATTAAATGTTACAGTAATTGGGGAAATTACTTTTAAATTATTAAAAAGAATCTCTTTTTATCCTGTCATCTATAATTAATTGTACTTTTTTGTGTTTATCCATTGAAACTGTCCGTAAACCAGACTAGACAAAATATCACAAGGTAGATTGCATTTCAGTATTCAGTCACCATAGAGTCTAGCAAAAATATACTGTAGCCCAAGATGTAGTATCACAATAGCACGACGAGATTAATTTAGATAAAGGTGAATAGTAAAATAGCCATCCTACTGTAGGTCTCTCCATGGAACTGAAGAGTCTCATAGTGGGACAGAACAACTGCACAATGGTTCCTAATTTTCAATGATTGCTTATCTTAGGTCGATTTGTTATCTGAATGACACTGAATATTCTTCACAAATCCTCACATTCGTAAATATAAATACATTAATATTCAATCAATTTTCATATCACTTACGACATAAATGACATAATAAATTTGTTTAAATTTCTCGGGTTAATTGCTGTTCTAAGTGATTGACGAAATTTTATGAGGACTTCTCGTACTTCTATTTCGTTTTCTGAATCTGCAGCCTATAAATTAAAAAAAAGTCGCAGGATAAATGATAGATCAATTTTTATCCGAAAAAATCAGTATTCAATAAAAAATTACTTGGTGACTTGTGGCGTCAGCGGAAATGTGATATTTTCATTAAAATTTATAAAAAAAAAAACATAATTTCTTAAAACTCTCAGCTGAGCGTTTAAGACTAAATCGAATTGCACGAAACTAGTATTCTCTTTCACGAACTTCTGAAACGTTTCTGTGATTACTTATTCATGCCTTTAAATATTATCATCGTTGGTCGGATCAAGAATTAACTGTCTAATTTTTTGTTTGCTTCTTAATTATTTAAAGTTAGGGTTATTCGAAGCTATGTCAAACATTTATTGTAAACATTTTTATTTCATTATTTTATTCAGCTTTTAAACTATAGAACAGAACATAAGAAAAAAAGACTAATCAATCAAGTCAGTTAGTAATGAGTTGATTACTTAACGATAATACTTAATCAAGTCTATGGCGTATTATTAACTGATTTGATTTGAGAGTATAAACACTTTAAAATTTGATTCAACAGCTCAGTAATTTCGTGATTACTACAAAGTTAGAAATCTTTTAACAAATTATGAAGGTATGTTAAGATAGAACTCCCCTCTGGTACTCTTTACTCTCTTAATTAATCCTCTTATTTTTGATATGTTATTCCTGTTAAAAGAAATTTATTAAATTACTTTATTAACTGATCAACTGGTAATGAGATTTACTACTTATACACTTACAAACTAATCATATATATATATTGATGAGAAATTACTCTAAATTAACAAAATCACTATATAAGACTATAAGATAGAATTAATGAATGCAAATTAATAACCAAATAGAAAATGCAACAATGTTTTCTAAATATAAAGTAAAACAATTAACTGATCACATTATAATAATAGAAATAAAATGATATTTGAATAAAGTTACTAACATTCTCCAGTTAATTGTTTAGAGTTCAAACAACATTCATCATAATGAAAAAACTCAATGCATAAAACTTTATAAATGTTATTTTGAAGGAATTATGAAATCTTAGAATAGAATTTTGATTCTATCTTTCACTAATATCATATAACTCAAATGAAAAGTTAGTTATAAATGATTATATTCAACTCAAGTCTATCATTTATCTCATAAGACAAGAGTCTTAAAGTTATTTTTGATTGAAATGATGAGTCAGTTGAAGATAGACCACCATGGAAAACCTGGAAGCACTGGACGGCCGTTTCGTCCTAGTACGAAACCCCTCAGCAATGCGCATCCACGATACCGCACCCCGCGAGATTCGAACCCAGGACCTATCAGTCTCGCGCCAGGCACTTAACCGACTAGACCACTGAGCTGGCATCCAATGGTGTTAATGTCTAACCTCAACCAATCCAACTCACGAAGTTGCGCGACCATCTTCCATTGTACTGAGGTAGACACCTGTTTCTGCCCGACATGGATTAACTCCACTGGTCACGGCTTCTCATCGGAAATCATGTCTTATACATGTTAAAAATAGCCTAATCTAGTGGATGGTAGAAGCGAACTAACAGAACACTAGTAGAAAAGAAATGCTAATGTGAATTAGATGTACATGTAAATCGAAGAAATATAAACATGAAATGAAATGTGAGTAGTTTTTTGCATTGCCAACTGATATAAGATGTAGAGTAATTTAGAAATAGGGAATACTGAACAAGTATTTCATTCTGCTAAGGTTTCTATAGTAAAATACATTCATGAAACGATTTATGAAGTGATCATTTCAATGGAAAACTAAAATACAAATCAATATCAGATGATATTGTTACATTTTAAGTTCCTAAAGAGTTATTAGGATTGATTTAAATATCTCATTCAGAATAATTCAGTATTTCGAAATTGTTTGGAGGTATATTTTAACAAAACAACATGTAACGAGCACTGATTATTGTTCAATGTTTAGATCACAAAATGTGATCAACTTTAATCTAATTCTTATCATTTTAATATTATCACGTTAATTACAATTTCAATATAAGAGATTTGTAGAGATTGTCAAATTTTATTGCTTGCATTACAACCTGAAGGTCCTGGATCCGACTACCAGTGGGATTATTGATCCACACTACTTAGGAATTACACATTAAAACGAAGTAGCTATTAAGCGCTTCTTAGTTTCAACTATATGTCTAAGGTTAGTTCGTGATGTAAACTAAAAAACCACAATTTTATGGTGAAATTCAAAGAAGACTAATAATAATGATAATAATCGTGCAACTATCAGTGTACAGAAGAATATGAAACGTAAATGTGAAAGTACATAGAAAATAATAAAATAGAAATATACATTTTTTACTGTAGTACACCTGTAATCTCTAACAGTCTTATATTTCAAGAATTTAGGAAAATTGATAAAAACAAAAGAGTAATTAATTATTATTGCAAAGGGAACTTGAACAATAACTGGTAATTCATTTCTATTATAGATAATGAAAAGTAGTTTCTTTTACTCTCTACCTTACCAAAGCGAGATATGAACTATCTATAATGTAACCAACCTGTTGATTACAAATTGATGTGCATTCTAGTGACGTTTACTGTTTGTGTAAGGGCCAGTGATACTACACGGCTGCCTACACCAATATAACTAAGATGGAATTCAAACCCTTAATATATTTGTTGAAAGATCAATCTCATAACCAATAAGCCATTACTAATGTTTACAACTTTATATCATAACAATGATGCTAAGAAATAATTCATAAGTTTTTATATTCACGACTTAAATTAATTAATGGGAAACATCTGATCAATTAATTCTAATTAGCATATATGTAGCAGAATATCTTTAGGGAAAAAGGCTGATTAACCAATATAAGCAAATTAGGTGAACGGAAGTTTTAAGGAGTTGACAATTTTTCTACAGGTCATATAAGGACAAATCAATCAAAAGTTATGTTCACGTTGGTAACACCCGAAGCTAGAATCAGTAAAAATATCTTAGGTGATGTAGAAAAGATGACAAGGAAGCTTATTAATTTATCTCTCGGATTCCTCTGAAATAGAATATAAAATACATTAAAACAAGACTGTATTAACGTAGTTAGTTAGAAAAACAATATGGTTAACGGGTAAATATATTTATTCATTAAAATAGTTTGTTTCAAGCAAATGTTGAAAAACGGGGAATATCCTATCTCTGTTTCTTCTCAGTATGAGTTACTTTACTTCACTCACATTTTTGCCTTGGATGACACCTTGGAATATCAGATGTTGTGGGGAGTGTGATCCTCAAAGTAAACAATCTCCGGAAATCTTGTATCCTAAGGATGTCTTTAATGTTATTAGTTTTTGAAATATCTATCAGTTCTTCTATTAGCCGATTCTGATTATTATTGATTATTTTAAGTAAAAGGATTCTCTAGATAAGCTAAACATATATCTTGAAATTTAGATGGTGGTTGGAGGTAGTCAACAGGAAACCCTGGACCCGGATTTCGTGCTACTTGGCGGCTCAGATAGCTCTGTGGTAACGTCTCTGACTGTGAAGCTGGGTGACACGAGATCGAATCAGCCAGGGAACACCAGTCCCCTCAAGATTACAGGTACACCTTGCAATATGATCGATAGCATTCGATCTGCACTAATAAGGACTAGACAAGCATGACATTGGTCACCACCCAGTGATCAATCAATTGTAAACATATATCTGTTTATTAACCGGTTAACTGCGATTACGTTACAACACTTTATAGTCAAATAAATTGTTCAGACATCAATTGTCACATTTATGAAATGATAAATTCACCTTAAATTAACATCAAACACAGACCATTTAAAAAGTAGGAAGAAACGAACGTTTGTTTCGTCCTGTTTTTGTACCTCTAAGGAATCAACACATTACACTGAAACTTCATGGAAAGTACAATATATTCGGATTTCCATGTTGGGGTCCAGTGATTCAGATCTTCGACTGTAGTTATTTTACTTTTAGACGTGATCTTCATCTGATGCTATTCACGAGTTACTGTTTCATCACCTTTCCGGATACTAGTCTACTTATGTATGCGACATATACTTACGGATACACATGCTGGTGTTTTATTTTGAATTTATAGAAAATGAAATATATTTCGATGCAAATATTTTTACTGATTCTGTCTTTCTAGATGGCATTATCATTGCGAATTACAGAAAACAATAAACTATCAGAATTTTGCAGATGGTCGCCATTACTTTGCAACAACGGCTGTTATGGAATACTACGTGGAAAATATAAGTTTTTATTTATAAATGTAGGTTTGAACAAAAAACTACTGATAATTGTTATGAAAAAGATTTTGTTGATGTTAGTGCATTTGGATATAGATTTTACAAATAACCGGTGAAATTCCTAATACTGTTGACGACGACCAAAGTATTTTCAAAACCTTTTCACTCAAATTATTCACATGTTACCTATATTTTAGCTTGCATTCTATCTAACGAATAATGAGTTTCATAAGACCATTACTTTAGTTATAAAATCAATATTCACTTTAGTATTTTGCCAGCAAGGTGTTTTATTATAAGATTGTCTTATTCTGTTTTTTTCGCCTTGGCGTAAAGACATTTATATTTATCAAATTTTCGTTAAACATTTGAACATGATAAACTATGCTAGAGCAATTCGTTCATCATAATCCAGGACAATAATTTTAGATTTAGTTAATAATAACGTTGTTTAGTTGTGATCGATGTAAAACATTAGCTCAACATACCATACTATAACAACATAACAAAATGGAATGAACATCATAAATATTACAAGAGCCTTAATAATGGTGGTAATAATGACAAACTAAAGACTGGGAATATGATTCGATAAAATATAAAGAAAATGGAAATTTACCTTCTAAGAGGAGATAATCAACAAATGTAAACGCATACGAATGCAATCTATCTTAAGTCATGTCAGTCAACATCTTCAACCGTTGTTTTTAATTGTTTCTTAAATTTCAAATCAGTGGTCAGTATCTGTCAATATGTCTCAATCATATTCTCCTTCAAAATAATAGAACTGCATATAAGGAGTACATTGTGGTAAAATTTTGTAAAACTGTGCCTGAAAAGACGCTGGAAATACAGAGTTTAAAACATTTAACTTTAGAACTAATAATCATAAATACTATTTTCTTGTAGAAAGTATATTTTATGGATTTCCTTAAATACAAATCTTACGGTTTCGAAATAACGTTAGTGGTGAGGTAATAATAGCATTTGATATATAGAAATGAGAGTAGTTTATCAACACCTTTGCAGTAAATAGCTCTTAATACTATCGAGTGTATTTTATCTCAAGGTCAGTAAAATTTTTACTAGTTATCGAAATGTCATTTTTTGAAATAGCAGATTTTCAGTTCAAGGTTTGTCAACATTAAGTCTTGGTTATAATGAGATTCTAAATTCTTGGTTTAGAAATGATCTAATATCAAATATACGTCATGTTGAGTCGATCTTAATACGATAGAATGGTCATCTTACTGAGCTTCGGTTTTTAACATTTCTCTGATAGATGTTAGCCTATGGTATTTATTCTTTCAATTGATTACAATTACGAATCAGAACAAAGTCAAATTTGAAAAATTAAAGCAACTGATAGTTTCTAGTCAATAAATAGGGAAGAGAAACAAAACACCTGTGATCAGAAACGAATGAATCTGTAAACGTTCTTCAGTGGTTAATTTCACATTCATGTGTATAGTCAAAATGAAGATAGAATTACATAATTTTAGCTCAAGCTTAGACAGCGATATAATCCGTAGGTAAAATTAAGGTTAACATTTCAATTAAAATCCTCACCATAATTTATAAAAAAAGCTTTCAGTAATTTAGTATTCTATAACTGTCATCAGTTATATATCATTATAGGTATAAATTAACTGATTTTCCACCCAAGAATTTATTTTAGATAGCTTTGAGCCACAGTAAGGTTGAAAATTCGTGACATAACCCGGTTGCTCTAACTGAAATAAGTGGGATAGGTCGTGATTGAAAAAAGGACGGTGGATAAAGTAGAAAAGATAATTGCTTCCAAAACTAACAACATAAAGTTTTCAGCAGAGTGGAAATTTCCGATAAGATATTTACTAAAAACACAAACTTAAGGAAGAAATATATCGTTTCAGTTAGCATTATATATGTATATATGTATGAACTACAACACTAATAAATTGATGTCAATTGGTTAGCAGTGTTACACAATTTGGAATTTCATAATTAATTACAAAATGTTTTCGAATGAATAATTAAGTAATTTGGAGGAAGAATGATTTGGTAATTATGATAAGCTGGTTAGAAATGACTTAGGATTCGGTAAGTCTGTCATCGTATCGTTGAACACCGTTCATTCTAATTGAGCGAAGGATAGTTCAAAATGATTAAGTGTTATATACTTGTCCACCTAATGGACACAGGATAGTAAGCTGACTTGAATAAAGCTTTCAAAGTTAGCCATTGTAATCCATCAAATCTTTCACATAGTTTGAGCGCTAGTCTTTTAGATATCTCTGAAGCTATTAGGATCCATATTCATAAAGCTAACTCTTGCACTAAAATAACGTTTATTCAACCCTTCTGTCTACATCGGCCATCAATATTGGAGTAGTTATTAGTTGTAATTTGATCCACCTGATTCTTATATAAAATATTCTTTTATTTCTTCAAATGTTTTTGGTTAATTACAAGATTTCAATATTTGTCACTTAATTCTTGCATAGTATTATAAAATTGACTTCTTAATAAAATATTGTAGTAACTTTCTAACTTCTTGGACGGCCTGCTGAAATATCTGAACTACCTGTCCCTGTCATCTAAATATTTTGAGCAAGTTATCTGTTTTTATTTGTATTAACACATAATTATATCTATTAATCGCCTAATCTATTTAGGTGCGTTTATGAAAAGTTTATAACCTTTCACTGTACAGGTTAAAAAAATGGTACAATCAGCGACATCGTGATGGCTGCCAGTAGGCATTGAAAACAACTAATATTATTCAGATGTCGATTCCTGAACTGCTTACATTTAACTGGTGATCACTCAACATCTATCACGAGAACCGATCAAGAAATAAGAAGAGGAAACTTGTTGAAATAGTTTGTGTTGAAAATTATAGATTGTACCAAAAATATAATCTTGAATAAAGCTATTCATAATAATAATATGATATAACCTGATAACCAATTAATTATATGTTTTTAATTTTTACAAATCATTACTTTGCTTATTATTTTTAACACATCATCACTCTTCCAATCATTTAGTTAATCATTCAACATTATTTTCATAATCACTTGTGAAAATTTTACATTGTTTAACTCTACTACTTGGTTAGTATTATTTTTTTAATTACTGTAAATGATGTATATGTATGTATTTGTGTAGAGTCATAATAGAAAAACCAATTGAAAAGAAATATTTCTTCGTTCTGTTTATTTTTTTAGTAAGAATGAGAGTTGTCCGAGAATTTTCAGTCAATCGGTTAGCTAGAAAATTTATTCAACTTTTATTGATGTTCATTTACTTAGATTCAGATAAATGTTTTGGATGAATGTGTTCATATAATAATAATAATAATAATAATAATAATAATAATTATTATTATTATTATTATTATTATTACTATTATTATTATTTACAATCACTTAGATTTTACCGTTTTTAGCATTCATAATTGTCAGTGTCTGTTGGCATATATTGAAGAAATGTCATGATACTGAGTGTAACCATTAGCTGGTTGAATTTATGGTAGAGACTAGCAGTGGAATGCAGGACATATCACATGGATGTACCTGTATCACTGTGCTGAGGTTCCTAATAAATAACTCCATTGACAGTTTAATGAGATATGTCCTAGATTTTAGTCTTAGTATTAATATCATTTATAAAATTAAGAGAGGAGAGTAAGACTCGGTTCCACTATTTATCATCATTCAAAATATAATCAATAATATACGTTGTTTATTAAGAAAAGAGTATTATTACTTATCTATTAAATTAAATGGTTCATAGTCAGGACATATTACAGTTTATGTTTTTAATAAAGTGAAAACATGGATATAGAATATTTTCAATATAACAGTAACATAGCATTAATCGATATAATGTAAGAGGTTTTTGTAATTAAAATTAAACTGTTTATAAAATTTTTACTGTAATATTTTATACGAATATTCATTCATTATTTGTTAATTTGGTTCTTAGTATAATTCGGCATATTTTCACATCAAGATAACAGAGAAGAAAAATTCACAAATACATATGGATTCAGTATTGGAATATAATTCGAATAAAATTAATTGAAATGAATTACCGAATATATCTCGACCAATGCTTCTAATCTTAAAATATATGCTCCAAGATATCTTTGTTAACCACTATATATTATACTAGAGACTGATTGAATATTGGGAGATGTCACGTTATATGATTCTTCACGATAATTGAATGTTATTTATCAAGGTGTTTTTTTCGGCTGTCACGACTGCAGCTAGGTTATTAGAGGTCTGTATCAATCAGCGAGAAACTCATATTTTAAATGATCCATTCATATTGTTGTAGAGGTTACTAGTAGGTGATAATAAATAGATCAGTTTTCATTGTCAGGTGGTTGGAGATGGTAGGTGGGAAACCCTGAACTAAGGTTTCGTGCTGTTTTAAGACTCACCAACAGGGTACGTTTGTAATCTTTAGGGAATTAAAGCTCCGTTACGAATTCATGCACGCTTCGCTTCAGTGGTGAATCAATCGTCTACATTTCAGTCCTATAGATCAGTCACATTCTAAGCATTTCAGTGATAACGTTCCAAACAATGAAGCTGGATTGTGCTGGTTCGAAATCCACAGGAAACATTAGTTCTTCTTACGGTTGGTTAATGAATACCAGACAGCATCAAAACTAGGCTGGCCCGCAATTTCTGCCGACTACCTTTAACTAACTATGATCATTATAAGTTTACCTAATTCATCCTAACTCTTATGTTTATAAATGAATTGTGATCATTTGTATTAAACTAGTTAGAATTTCTTTTTACATCGTTTAAATACAATACTGAACTATTCAATATTAAATGACTAATTAGACTTACCGAACCAAAACGATGCATTAATAAATATGATTCAGCCGCTGGATTCATTCCAACTGTATTTAATTTCCATCCAATTAACTGAAATTTTGTAAAAGAAAATTAGTGGTCACATTAAACTTAACACACAAATGCTCAATATTTATCATGATGGAGTTTTTTTGAAGTTTATCAAACGGAAAACATCCAATTACAAACCATTTAGATTTCAGTTTGAGTAATTGAAATGAAAAAAACTTGAGAAAAAATAAATTCTATTCTGTAGTAAGACTTTTGTTCAACTATGGCTGACAAATTACTTCATGACATCAAGAATGATGATTTAAACTGTACCAATACAGATATAAATTAGTAAAATGAAGAAGTAGTAAAGAATAATAGAGTTGACTTATTCAGTTTACAGACAATTAAAAAGAATAACATTATACATATTGAATCGTGGACTATCACCAGAAATATTTTTTACACTTCAATCATTATCAGAAGGGGCTTGTGGACATTTTAGAAATTTCGCATATTGAAATCATGAGTCAATTGAAGCTAGACCACCGTGGAAAACCTGGAAGCACTGGACGGCCGTTTCATCCTAGCATGGGACTCCTCAGCAGTGCGCATTATTTTATACATTGAGTTTTTTTAAACATCCTATCTACTTCAAAGAATCAGTCTTGTTGTAACATGTCTGTTACATATTCCTTGAGTAATTTTATTAGTATAAAACTCAGAAGAGACAGAATGATAGAGTATATGATAAATGAGAAACTCTTCACTTTGTTTATAGACTATGTAGGGTATGGGTGAAAGTACGTACCTTATAGAAAAAGAATGAAGTTGAATATTTTCAAAATTATTTTAGGATTTCATCTTAATCAGAATAATCGGTATTATTATTCTCCTTCTTTCTTACTTTATTTTGGTCATTCAGCTGAAACAATATTCATTTGTTAACATAATAATTGAATTAGAGTGAACATAAAAATAATTAAGGTTAGTGAAAGGACTGAGAAGGAATTTTATCAATCGTTTATGGAAAAGTAATATATTAGATCGTCCTGAAGATTAACAGATTGGAATTACAAACGCTTACAAACTATTCTGCCATTTTTTCACACTGAATTCATCGTCACTAAAAGTTAACTAATATCAAATGAATAATTCTATTCTCAAAGTTTCAAGTCAACAGAGAGTATAGTTTGCTTTATGTAGCAGTATTTCACAATTTTATTTTCAAGTTGGAATGTATGGAATTCAAATGAATTAATACATAATTATTCAGGTCTGAAAAACAATATACAGTGTCAATGTATCAAATGATCAGAGGTAGTCAGCAGTAAATCCTTTTTCACATAGGCTTCGTGCGATTTACATCATGTCAGTAAGATTTACTTGCAATCTTAAAAGAACTTATCAGCATGATAACAACTTATAAACGTTGTTGAGTTACTTAGAATAGTAGACACATGGTCACTTTACCGATAGAATTAGATCAGTTCTAAAGGACTAGACAAACATGACATTTATCACCAATTAAAGGCCAATTAAGCGTACATAAAAGTATTATTAATCATAATCAGATATGTCAAGATAATCTATTCAAATTAGAATGATTAATGTCGAGAAATTAGTTTACAATCAGTCAGTTATTAAGACTGTAAGGTCTGGTATAAACAAGTTTCTCCAAAAGTTGTCTCATGTACATAGGTTACATTGATAGGATAATAAGCTGTAGAGGTAGAGGCATAATAATAACACACTCCACGTAATTAAAAGCCATATCACGAAAAATATATATTTAAGAAAAATGAATAAGAATAAGGAACATAACGCATGAAATCGAAATAAACCCATGATTTGTAAAGATAAAGAATGAAGATAACTATACCACTGTGACAGGTTTAAAATATTTTAAGAGGATGGAATCTTTATGATTTAGTTTACGTGATGGGTATGAAAATGCTACGGATATACCTGTTAATCCAGTTCGAACTTGTAGTCGCTTTTAAATGAATCCAAAAATTTTGAGAGCTTAACATATAATTTTTATTAATATGAAGGGATTTCTGGAGATCGTAGTTATTTCTCAGTTAAAATCATGAGTCAATCTAAGCTGGAATGCCATCGAAACCCGAAAGCACTGGACGGCCATTTTGCCCTAATATGGGACTCCTCATCAGTGAGAACTCAATATCCCACATGGGGGACTCTATGGAATGCAGATATTACACCAGGATGATTGGGCGTACAGAATGCCAAAGTGCCTATTATTAAGATGCTGGCAAATATTATTTATTAATGAAGCTAACACTTACATACACAATCATCAGTGTTAGCAATATTAGTTCATTGATGAAATGAGTATAAATATATGTAGGTCCAAAATAAAGTGTCGTGGTCGAGAGTAATTTTGCCACTCATAACGCGTAATACTGACCCCAAGTAAGGATATGAATTTCAACCTTATAAGATTTATGAATGAAAACTGTTGTTCATAAATGTAGATTGATCTCAAATGCTGATGTACTGCATCTTCCCGATCGTGAAACCTATTTACTGTCAATAAAATTTAGTTGATGTTACATGTCTCAAACGTTCATCCTCGTTATTATCATCTTACAAGTTTGTTAGTTTCATTTGGCGACTATAACTAATTGTCTCATTATTAAGAGGGAATGAAATGATCAAAGGATTACCTTGTCATTCTGTTACATCACAATAAGCATAGTGAATAGTAACTTTTGGGGTTCATATCGCAGAGGCTCGGATTGGTGTTCTGGAGTTAACTGTCTGGGCTAAACGGGAAGCAGGACCAATAAGGACTCTAGACTGCTCGTACGTGTTCTATACGTCACTGGTCCGATCGATAATTCACTGCTCACTAATTGGCGGTATCGTTACGTATACATTAACAGGGCACATATATCACAAGCTATAACACATTCAAATGCTTTGAAACTGTTAAAACGTTATAGAAGTTCACTAAAATTGAGGTCAAATTCTAAAGATTATATTTCTGAGCAGTTTTAACTACTTCGTAGTTGTTGGTGAGTAAGTATATTTTGGCCCCTCAGATTGCTTAGATATCAAAGTAAATGTGATCTCAAACTCTCCCCACTAAGATTTTAGTGAAGTTCTATTACTTTTCAAAGTATTTTTAAATCGTCTCACTCATGACCGTAGCCGATAACCATTTTCGAATTGATATGGGAAAAAAGGTAGCTGCTCGGTCATATTATAGAAACATATCGGCAATATAAATCAGCTATTTTACTTATCAACGGGTTTTATAATCTTAATACGATGATGGTCAAACGTGATTTATTCATTCGAATGTTAAGTGTCATACAAAATATGGAAAATCAAATGTTAACATAAAACAGTGTAAGGAAAATATTATCAACATGAAAGACGAATTTCTTACTCTATCTCGAAGACTTTCAGATAACCCTGCAGTTGTCCCAGTACAATGAATTAAAATAGCACCCAAAACTATGTCATATCTTAACATCTGAAATAGCATATACACATTGCAAGAATAAAACAATACGGATTAAATCAATCAGACAATCAGTTTAAGAAGATGATTAATTCCTATAACTACAGTATTCTAAAGTACATACCACCAGTCTAACTAATATATTTGCTCCAGCTCCTTCACCGAAAACAACAACATACTGTAATCTAGTAATATGGTAAGAAAAACATTATTTATATTTTTTGATTGAAAAACGGAAAGGTTACCTAAGTGCATTGCATACTTCGCTCATGCCTTCTGCAAGTTGTTGAACTGAAGGAAATGTATAACTAAAAACAATAATAGAATAATAAATTTTGAATGGATTAAAGCTTTAAAAAAATGGTTAGAATATGTGTTTGGGACAAGATAAGCACGAAGTAAAATAAGGTACCTAAAAAAACTCAGTCTTAGAGACTATTCGCACTTCATAAATCTCATAACACTTTTTATTCGACTTAATATATTTGGAAACGGTCATAGAAACATTGCATCCTTATGTTTCTGATTTATCAAAGGTCACTGAATACGTGGGTTTCACATGTCACAAAAAGCTGGTCTCAAAGACTTAATTAAACCTTGGTAAATTCCAAAAAGCCAAACATTGACAGTCATGAAGCTTGAACTAAGCAGTAATACGATGTCCGGCAACGATTTATTCAAAACTAATTCCATCGGTGCGCTTAATAAGGCTTCCAACATACTATTTACATTTTTTTATGTATGTGTGAGTAGCAAGATATTGGTAATTAACGATATTACCGAACATATTCAGCCTATGAAATTGGTGAATAGTCTCGTTTTCACCTCGTTGTCTATTAAGATGCTTCTAGGTCAGAAGTCCAGGTTATAAATTGAGATAAGAACACCAGGTCTTCATAGCTGACAAACTATCTGGGACAAAAATTTAGATAGAGAGAAAATACTTCCTGCTTTTAAAGACAAGTTAATTTGCTTGCTTTAATAATACTAAACAGAAAATTATTATTCCCCTATGCCTAACAATGACGCGTAATTTGTCATGAACTGTAAGTATCTCAGGTGTCCAAAACATTATATAACTGCCTGTTAATGTTGTTATCATCGAGATGTCATTCAAAACTGATGAAATTTATTTAGATATATGACTTACTCTGCAGGTAAATCCGATTCACCGTCTCCTTGTCCTGGAACATCTACATGTACCCAGGTACATCGATTAACTAGCGGTTCCATGGATTCATGTGCAAGAAAATTAATAATTTCATTATCTGTAGTGATTAGTGCATTTTAAATTATTTTGAACGTTTAGCATACGGTTGCATCCAAGATCATGAACTGTCAAGAAAGCAACTTTTGTATTACGTGGACCCTGTTTATGGAATATTTACTTCCAAGATAAGTGATTTACCTGTATGAATACGTTAATTTTTCCACAACTTTCAGTGTTCACAACTTGATGTTCTATCTAACAAAAAATAAGCGTTTGTGTAATAATTAATGTAAAATTTATCAGGCTAACCGTAAATTATGATTTTGCAATTACTTTTTAGAACTGTAACTTTGGAACAAATGGAAAGTTAAATAAAGTAAACTAAGAGACAAGAAGACACTTGTCGTGATTCGTAAAATAATTGCTGTGCTTTGTTCGTGGTTGTCTTAAGGCGCATTGTAAATCATTACAAAGCTTTGAATAAAATGAGCATCAGCGCCCTGAAAACAAGGAGTATCTAGAAATAGTAACATTAAGCTGATATGTAGTGGGGATTCTGTCACTTCTGTGTGTATTATCATAAGCAAGTGGATTTGTATAAAATTAGTTCTGAAAATTCAAAAAAGTGAATTAAATGCCTTAGGAAATACACTAGTCTGGAAATGCAACGATTAATGACGGTCTAAATAATACTTTTGTCATAATCGACAGTCGATGATGAAACTATCTAAAACGTTGTCTCAATACGGACTCGCACTCCGATCGTTTTTCACTAAGAAACAACCTCAAAATCAATAATAGGAACGCATTCATATACCTTGTTAATTTGCTTTTAATACTTTGTAATTTCAAAGACTATCGGCAAAATTCATCTTATGTTCTTTGATTGAACTCATGACATTTTATTGCTCCAATAATGTTGACCAGTTATTCATTTTCGATAGCGTTTTCACGCCTCTAATAAGGTACCAGACTTTTGACATTAACTTCACAGTGCATTGTACTGCAGATTTTCTGAGAAATGAAGCTAAGGATGAACGAAATAACTTTCTGAGTGGAGGATACCTACAATGTATATGACCAGGATAATTAGACAGTTTTGGAATGCTAGTCACTCTTAAAAGTGAAAACTGATATTTCTTTTTGGTCACAATCGGATATTCAAGCCACATCTGTCCATGAAACGCTTGTTTCGTTTGGAAAATAAATGAAATTAAATAAGTCTCTCTTTATAGGTAGAAATGAGAATAATAAAGGTCGATTGAAAGTTGATTATTTGGAGTTTTAGGTCGCACAACAAAACGGACTTAATCATACGAGCAGATATTTGGTATTTTAATTTGGGTAAAGTGCGATCCGTTTTAAAAATAACGATTTACACTATATAGTATGTGATAATCCAAATATTATGTGAAACAGCGTTTAAACGAAATGTATCAAACAGCTATTATGAAAAACTTCTAACGTTAATAAAATCTGTGATTCATCACCTCACTTAGGGTGGTGAAACGATCCATCAAAAGGATAATGCAATTTTACAAAATTTCAGTCCATATTCAAAATTTTAATTTCAAGGACAATAATTAGAGTATTTTAGTCTATTCACGAGTACCCGAGGAAGCAATGAAAATTCACTATGATATTAACCAAACTCAATGATCCGATGTGTATTCTTTATTATTCAAAAAACTCACTCCAGACATTGTTAGCTGAAACTCAGAAGTTATTTGAAAAAGTGCAAGTACATAATAAGAATACTGATACAAACAAACACATTCTGTGAACAGATTATTTTAAAGCACATTGAGTGAGTAAATTAGGTATTCTTAAATAGTACGTATTCATTATATTCATCGACATAAGCTGTAGAAACTAAATCAGAATGGTGTTGTGAAACGTTGTTATCTACTTTGAAGACCAAATAATTTATTCCAGTATATGATAATCAATATACTTGTGACAAACTAGTATGGGCTTGTTGATATCGCCTTTCACTTCTGTGCTACAATTTCCGAGTTTCGACGCTTTTAAATGTTAACAGTAATATATATATAATGAAATGATTCAAGTGAAGATAGAATGTCTCGTGGCAACTATTTTACTCCAAGTAAACGACGATCAATAAACCATGAAACAAAATCCCTTATCTAATATTAGTATATTATACTTAGGCTAGCTCCGTGTATAGAGGATAATGATTAAAGCTAAATGTAATATAATTAACAAGATCACAGATGACAAAACACGTTAGAAAGTCACATCACTTGACCCAGAAGGGATGACACGTTTAGTTGTCAGAAAGAATTAGATTACTTATGAGTATGGTAAAGGCTGCGATAGGTCAAGGCAGAATTGAGCAATCAAGTTTTGCAGGCGGGTTAAATCGTTCTAGAAGACATAGAAGGGACTGCCGCCTAACAGGACTCCGTATTTGGTAGCAGTGGATCACCGACGCTCTTAGCTCTGTAACTACGTCTATTTAACGAATAAAAAGAAATAAAAGTAAGTTATGACGAAAAGCTGCCCTTAGTCCCTGAGAATGTCAAATTTCTGTTTGAACAACTCCTGGGAAGTCACTTGGATCACCTCGGCTGGCAGACAATTCCATGGTTCTTACTTACTTACTTACTTACGCCTGTTACTCCCAATGGAGCATAGGCCAACGACCAGCATTCTCCAACCCACTCTGTCCTGGGCCTTCTTTACTAGTTCCATCCAATTCTTGTTCATTTTTCTCATGTCTATCTCCATTTCTCGGCGTAATGTGTTCTTTGGTCTTCCTCTTTTCCTTTGACCTTCAGGATTCCATGTGAGGGCTTGTCTTGTGACGCAGTTGGGTGCTTTCCTCGATGTGTGTCCTATCCACTTCCAGCGCTTCTTCCTGGTTTCTTCCTCCGCTGGGATCTGGTTTGTTTTCTCCCACAGTACGTTGTTGCTAATAGTGTCCGGCCAATGGATCTGAAGTATTTTGCGTAGACAACTGTTAATAAACACCTGTATTTTCTGGATGATGGTTTTCGTAGTTCTCCAGGTTTCTGCCCCATACCGTAGAACTGTCTTGACATTTGTATTGAAAATCCTGACCTTGGTGTTGATGACAGTTGCTTTGAGTTCCAGATGTTCTTCAATTGTAAATATGTTGCTCTTGCTTTACCGATCCGCGCTTTCACATCTGCATCAGATCCACCCTGTTCATCGATGATGCTGCCCAAATACGTAAAGGTTTTTACATCTTCCAAATCTTCTCCGTCAATTGTGATTGGATTAGTGCATTCTGTGTTGTATCGGAGAATCCTGCTTTTCTCTTTGTGTATATTGAGACCTATTGCTGCTGAGGCTACTGCCACACTGTTCGTCTTCTCCTGAATTTGTTGTTGCGTTTGGGATAGAAGGGCCAGATCGTCTGCGAAGTCTAGATCATCCAACTGCATCTTAGATGTCCATTGTATCCCGCGCTCCCCTTCAGACGTTGACGTCTTCATGATCCAGTCGATCACCAGGAGAAAGAGAAACGGTGAGAGTAAGTAACCTTGCCTAACACCGGTCTTCACTTCGAACGACTTTGTCAACTGTCCTCCATGCACGATTTCGCAGTGTAATCCATCATATGAGTTCTGTATGATACTGACTATCTTCTGAGGCACGCCCTAGTGTTGAAGAAGTTTCCATAGTGTTGTTCCGTCCACGCTATCAAATGCCTTTTCGTAGTCAATGAAGTTGATGTAGAGTGATGAATTCCATTCAATTGATTGTTCCACAATGATCCGTAGAGTTGCGATTTGGTCTGTATACGATCTATCCTTATGGAATCCTGCCTGTTGGTCACGAAGTTGGGCGTCTACGCAGTCCTTCATCCTGTATAACAATACCCTGTTGAAAACTTTTCCGGGTATTGAGAGAAGAGTGATGCCCCTGTAGTTATCACACTTGCTGAGATCGCCTTTCTTCGGTATTTTGATCAGAAGTCCTTCTTTCCAGTCTTTTGGTACTTGTTCCTCATCCCAAATCTTATTGAAGAGAAAGTGGAGTATCCTTGCAGTTGCCGCTAAGTCTGCTTTTAGTGCCTCTGCTGGAATGTTGTCTGGTTCTGCTGCTTTGCCACTCTTGATTTGTCTGATGGCCATACTGATTTCTTCAATTGTTGGTGGGCCAACATCGATTGGGAGGTCCGTGGGTGCTGCTTCGATGTTGAGTAGGTTCAGTGTTGCTGGTTGACTCAAGATTTCCTTAAATTGCTCTACCCACCTGTTTTGTTGCTTTTCAATGTTGGTGATTACCTTGCCTTCCTTGCTTTTCACTGGTCATTCTGGTTTGCGGCGATTTCCAGAGTTTCTTTGTCGTGTCATGCAATTGTCTCATGTTTCCTTCTCTTGCAGCCTTTTCCGCCGCCGCTGCTAAATCTTCCACATATTGACGTTCGTCGGTTCTGGTGCTCCTCTTCACTTGTTTGTTAACTTCTGTGTATTCAGCTTGTGCCTTGGCTTTTTCTGCTCTTGTTCGGCTGGTATTGATTGTTGCCTTCTTGTTCCTTCTTTCTTGAATCTTATCCAGTGTATCAACAGTGATCCATTCCTTGTGATGGTGCTTCTTGTGACTCAGGACCTCATGACATGTTGAAGTGATTGCCTCTTCGATCCCCTTCCAGTTGCTCTCCACAGTAGTTCCTTCTCCATTGAGTAGATCATGAAAGGCCTGGAACTTGTTGCTGAGGACTACCTTGAATTTGTTGAGTTTGTTAGTATCCTGAAGAAAGGCCGTATTGAACTTTTGTGATATTGTCCGCCCCGTTGTCCAGTGCTTCTTGAGTTTCAATTTCATCTTGGCGACCAGCAAGTGATGATCTGATGCTATATCAGCTCCTCTCTTGGTTCTCACGTCCTCTATAGTCCTCCTGAATGTTTTGTTGATGCAAATATGGTCGATTTGGTTTTGTGTAGAGTGATCCGGTGAAGTCCATGTGGTTTTGTGTATGCGTTTATGTGGGAATATGGTGCCGCCTATGACCAGCTTATTGAAGGCACATAGGTTTGCAAATCTCTCACCATTTTCGTTTCTTTCTCCCAGTCCGTGTCGTCCCAAGATGTCCTCATATCCAGTGTTGTCCGTTCTAACCTTGGCGTTGAAATCTTCCATCAGAATGATCAGGTCCTTTGTTGGGCACTTCTCGACGACTGACTGCAGTTTATTGTAAAATTGATCTTTAGCGTCTTCATTGTAGTCGTTGGTAGGCGCATAGCATTGGATGATGTTCATTGAAATATCCTATTTCTTTGTTTTGAACGAGGCTTTGGTGATCCTTGGTCCATGAGATTCCCATCCTATGAGTGCATTTTGCGCTTGTTTGGACAGCATCAATGCAACTCCTTGTGTATGTGGTGCGTTTTCTTCTTCGTGGCCGGAGTATAACAGGAGCTCTCCTGTAGTTAGTCGTTGTTGTCCAACTTGTGTCCAATGTGTTTCACTGATCCCAAGTACCTCTAGGTTGTATCTTCTCATTTCTACAGCAATTTGGAAGGCTCTCCCGGTGTCCCACATTGTACGAACATTCCATGTACCGAAATAAATGGTTGCTCTGGTTGTCAGAAGGGGCATCGGCCTCGTAACTTCCGAAGGAATTCGGCTTTCATCATGAGGCGTCATAATTCTTCTAAATGAAGATTTTCTGACTCCCAGGGCAGAGTTTAAAAGTCTTGAATAATGTTTTCTGGTTAGCGTTTTTTTAGCGAGTTAGTTTTCTACGGGATGGGGACGCTAACCCTATGCCCAACCATCCTCCTTTATCCGGGCTTGGGACCGGCATTAGCCTCCGGTGGGACTCCAGGCGGAGTTTATTCCATGGTTCAACTATTCTTAAAAGGTAAAAGGTATTTCTATATTTCAGTGTGCTACGTTACATCTAAAATTTCCGTTTGTTAACGCTTAAGTTTGCGTTGCGACTGACCTCAAATAAGTATTCAAGATTGTATCCAGGAGTATTGGATGGCTACAAGCTATTAAAAAATCACCATACAGACGCCTATACTCTAACAGCTAAGCATCCTTTTCAGAAATTTAAAACAATTAGTCCCTTTGATAAATTTCGATAATGCAATGAGAAGACGTAGTTTATCAGAATTATGTGATATATTTGCGCAATACATTTCGAACAATCTGATCACACATATACTTGTTAAGAACATTTATATATGAAAAATTAAAAGGTCAACTAGACAGGTTAAGGGTAAGTCATAACAAAGGAAAAAATATTAAAGTACACAAAAACAAATGTGATTACCACTCTGGACAGTAAATCAGTACTACCAGGGTAGGTTAAGTGTAAGTACAAATTGTTTTTGAACACATAAAGGGGGTTTCAATTTTCGTATAGCCAAGGCTTCAATAAACCTTGGTATACGTCCATGAAGGCTTTTGTACAACACAACAAATGATGATTTGATATCAACCTTATGACCCGTCTCAATCAAATGTTTCGAAATGGATGATGATGTCTGTCTATCCTGTGGTCTTATACCAAAATGGTTGCAAAATCAGATGAATTCCAATGGTGAAATAAGATCACAGGATAGACAGACATCATCATCCATTTCGAAACATTTGATTGAGACGGGTCATAAGGTTGATATCAAATCATCATTTGTTGTGTTGTACAAAAGCCTTCATGGACGTATACCAAGGTTTATTGAAGCCTTGGCTATACGAAAATTGAAACCCCCTTTATGTGTTCAAAAACAATTTGTAC